TGTAAACAAGGAAGATTAGAGCAAGATAATACTAATTTGACCACATTTTACTGATGCCAATGACTTAGACTTAAGAATTTCTCCTGTTTTCTCTACAGAATTTGAGCATTAGGTAGAAACCCTTTTGCAACCCTGCAATCTGTTGTTTTTCATTCCTGTCTTGGGTGATGGTAACTGTTTGTGGGATACTTTATACCCATATCTGGTATTTCCGAAGGCTGTGGTAAATGGAAATCTATAAAAACAAAAGCTTCTAAATTCAAACAATTGCCATAAGGAGGAATAAATAAACTTTCATGCATTCGGACTATTACTGTTTGAAATATTCTGAAAGTCAGATTTAATTGATGCCTGAATTTCCTCTCATTATTTTAAGTCCTCATTCCCAACTCCTCTTATGTTCTCAGATATTTCAGCTCATCCTGGGCATTCACAACAAAAGAAGTCAGTGGCTGTATAAAACAAGTGCTTAAAACACAGAGCATTTTTTTTTAGCTCTTGTGTCAGTGAACAGGAACCTGGAATGCTGGGACACAGCCATTTGTTAGAGAATAAAAATATGGTAGGAGCTTAGAGATGGCTGCAACAGGCAAGTCTGTCCAAAAACTTTTATGCTGTGATCACAATGACTACCTCCAGCATATGGTTCTAATCTTAGTTATAGTACGTAAGGCCACCTGTTGTGTGAAAATTAATGAAGTACTCAGGTGCAACAGAATGATCCATTGGAATTGAGTTTGTTTGGTTTTGTTGGTTTGCCTCAGACAATTAGGGTATGTCCACAGTTCAAGCTGGAGACATGCTCATGCTAGCTGTTGTTCAGTTCACACGCTAAAAACAGAGTTTCAGAGTAGCAGCCGTGTTAGTCTGTATTCGCAAAAAGAAAAGGAGTACTTGTGGCACTTTAGAGATTAACACATTTATTTGAGCATAAGTGAGCTGTAGCTCACGAAAGCTTATGCTCAAATAAATTTGTTAGTCTCTAAGGTGCCATAAGTCCTCCTTTTCTTTTAAAAACAGAGTGGAGCCTGAGCAGTGGGATGGGCTAGCTACCCCAAGTACCTGCCTAGGGTCTTAGCTGGGCATGTACTTGGGGTAGCTAGCTCGTTGTGCTGCCATGGCTACAGTCTATTTTTCATGCATTCACTCGATGAGAGCATCCCTGAGTGTGTCTCCATTGAAGTGGGAATTAGACCCCCAACGTAGTCATACCCTGAGGGTGAAATCCAGCCCCTGTTGACATGGCAAAATTCTCATTGACTTTGTAGTCAACTGCATCAGGCTCAGCTCTTGTTGAAGCCAGTGGAAAGACTTCAGTGGGCGCTCATTCAGCATCTTAAATGTTTGAATGAACTTTTTTGAAGGCTGTTTGTTTAATAAAGAAATGGAAAGCAAGGGGAAAACTTACTTGACTCTTTTTGGTAGGGCCAATAAAATTCAGGCCTCAGAGAAGTCATATTAAGGCTTAGCTGCATGTGTATTGATGGTAATTAGGCAATGAGTCTCAACATTTTTTACACTGGAACCTACCTTCAATTTAGTAGAATGGGAAAGATTGGGTTGTTGTGAAGCACATCTTGAGAGCCCAAATTTGATATAAAATGTAAATATTGATGTGTATCTGTATGTGAATTTAGTGGTCATTGATTGCCTCGATTAGGAGAACAGCATTCATCTTTCATGCAGAGCCTATCTCACTACTGTGCTACTAGTGCAGCTACTTCAAGAATGGGTATCTACTCTGCTAAAGGGAATACACTAAATTAGAATTAAGGCCACTTAAGTTCTGTGTATGAGTGTCCACACAGGTTTGATTTAGTTTAACTGAATTAAATTCACACATTTAGTTAGTTCAGATTAATTTTTGGAATCATGTCCCCATCTCCTGACAGTCTCTAAAAGTGATGATTCTCAGGGTACCCAGGACTTTGAGCCACCTTGTTACCCCCTGTCTCCAGGCTAATTCTGAAGAATATTAAAAATGACTTCAGATTTCTGTGTAGTCTATTTTTTTTGTATCCATAGCAAGCAACTTGGGTAACTCAAGTCACCTTGTGTATATGCTGTCTTTTAAATTAAAAAAAAAAAAAAAGAAAGAAAAATTCTCGCTGAACTCCCAGTTAGCAAAATGCTTAATCATATGCCCCTTTAAGTACGTGGTCGTCCACTGACTTCAACGTTAGTTGTATGCTGCATTACCTTGCTGAATTGGGGCCTAATGCATGAGTCACTGCAATTAAAACATACTGCTGTACAAGAAAAAGTACTTCAATGCCATCCATTTGCACAAGTGCAGAGAATAGAAAAGGCTTAAACAGGTGCAGAAATTCATGTTATCAGATGATTAAAAACAAACCTTTTTTAAATATAAACTAATATGCTTCATTTGATGAAAAGCTCCACATCTTTAGGACATAGGGAGCTGTGGAGAGGTAGGGGGCCATAGACCCTCAAACTCTGCAGTGTCTGTTACTCCCAATTACTTGTTCCTAGCTTTTCTTTCCTCTGCTCCTGTATCTTGAATCCCTGGATGCTGTAGGAATAATGACTCCAGTGCATGCTTTGTTTAAAAAGAAAAAAGACACTTGAGCTGTACGTAGTGGAGGCACTGTTTCTGTGGACTTCCACAGTCTGATATATATCGCATGTAGATCTTGTGACCCAATGCTTGGAATGTGCATGCATAAATGTGTATTTTTTTTTAAATCTCCAACAAAAAACCTTGTTAACTTCCAGTTCAGTTTGCTTCTTAATATTGTTTAAAATGAAGGTGTTTCAAGTTAAAAAAAAAAAATCAAACTCAAACTATTAAAAAGTATGGAATTGACTAGTAAAGGCAAGTTGCATGAATATTCAAATATATGAACAAGTGTAAATGAATTTGTATCTAGAGCATTTAGGAGATGTTTCTTCATGAAACTTGTCTAGAGAGACTGCCACAGCTGGATAAACTAATCTGTTGATGTTGTAAATGCTTATAAGATGCATTCATGGTGTTACTGATTATTTGATCATGTACAAAGAGCACTTGGTCCTGATAAAAGTATGTTTTTCATGATGGCTTGTTTATCTTGTAGAGGAGTTGTAAAAGATTGGTTTATCATAATTTTATACTGTATTGTAACGAGGCATTCTTTCATTTTGTAATGTCATAGGTAATGCCCTTTTAATGATCTTGAACATGTTGATATTTTCTTTGTTTCATATAGGAAGTAGCTAGTGGATAATGTGTAGGTAACAAACATTTTCCTATAAAATGTAGGTATTATGTTGCTCTGTCCCAGGTGCACATCATTGATACCTGTTTACTGAAAAGCAGGTAAAGCCACTATATTGACTTATGTTCTGTAAAGACAAGCAAGAAAGCAACATTTCACAAGTGAATAAAGGACAAAATCAAGGAAGAAATGTTTTCAAGTTGTAACGGTATTATAAACAAAGCCTTATATATTGTGTAGGTTTAAGTCGAGGTCACTTCCTCTCAGGAAATTTTCTTCTTTTAGTCTTTTCCAATTTTTCATGCTGGGGTTAGGGGCATATAGGTTGCTATCATAGTTTTAAACTTGGCTAGTAATATTGAGAATGCATACAACATTTTCTTGTAGGCAAAGTTAATCAGTGTAGTGAAGAAAACTACTCCTTTGAGGAGACTTATTGTGCATATCCTGCCAAATTTTTCACATTGCTGATGTTACTCTGTTTAGGTTTCCATGCAGAAGCCAAGGTTCTGTAAATTTGCCATTGTGCAGTGTACTCTGATGATGAGAATACAATTATTTTATGTTATAGAAGGCCATATTTATTGATAGTGAGGTTAAAAAAAAAGTCAGTTGTGGTAAGTGTAGTGCTTAGTTTATAATAGAGTTGCAAACTGCTCAGATTAGTCTATCATGAATTCATGCCTTGATGAATCATCCATGTGTCAAAGTAAAGGGAAGTCATCTGACATCCAGTGCCCCCTGTAAGCATTGCTAAAGAAGATAAAACTTTGGAAAAATGGTTCTAGGAATTTTAACAGCAAAGTGGGCTTTGCCCAGCTGCACTTACATGCAGTAAGACAAGAAAATTGCCTTTATTTCTCCTTGCTTGTATCTTAAATTACATTAATCATCTCCTTTACTTAGGAAGGAGCTAACTTATCAATTTCCTTTTTCTGAGAGCAATTATAGCTCACATAATCTGATATTAATAGACTATAAAATCTTATGCTTCTCTATTTGAGCTGTAGATGTTCACATCCTAAATGTTTAGATAAAGTGTAGAATTTTAAAAAAAAATTTAATGGAGGGTGATTTTATATAATATTAGATATTCAAATCTTTCTTTAAACATGGCAGCAAATTAGGTTAAATATAGATCTATAAGCAAAGGCTCTGTCTAAACACAAATACGTATCTTTAAAAATATGTTTTTAGTCTGGTTCAAATATACTCGTAGCCTCAGGTCACAGTAGCAGATCAATGAATGACAAATGTTGGACAAAATCTGAGAATAATATGATGTTAGAAAATATGTACAGCCTGGCATCTCCAAATGCTAAAAAGATCAAATAATGACTTAACGTCACCATTCCATGCTGTCTTAATTCAGAATGCCAAGTTGTTATTTAATTACACAGTGTACTTGTAGCTGTGTTGTCATGATGTAATATATTTGTCCTAAACTGGGGATAATTTATTCTGTGGTGAAGAAATCTGATTACAGAAATCTGTTTCAGACATTGGGGCGGGAGGAAATGTGGTCTTCAGTAAAGAATAAGAATGTCCCCCCCACCATGTGATCTTCTGAATACATCAAACTCAAGGGGTTTTGAAAGCTTTCATTTGTCACTTGATATTACAACATAATTTGAATTGCTGATGTCATGATTGCATCACATGGTACTCACAGACATTTTTGAAAATGTATCCTGAAGCTTCAAAGTTTTATTTGCAAGCCGATTGGTTTCCAGTGTTCTTTTTTAACATCTGGCTTACTTGGTTTTGTCTTCTGCTTTGCAGGCTCATAAGTCAGTGAACTTTGTTTCAACTCTGCTTCAGATCACTATGTCAGAGCAACTGGATTTACCAGTGAGACAGGCAGGCAAGTTTTCTTTTTCTTTATACTCAGAATGTTTACATACTGTATACACATTACATACAAAAAAATGAATATGACATTAAGGTTGCAAAGTCAAGTGTTCAAAAGCTAGACAGTGCCAGAATTAAGGTTGCCTATGTAGTAAATGAGACTGGTTGAATGATGAGGATAAAAAGAAATATTGAATAAGCTACCAGCTTAGTGAGCACAATCCATTCTGTGCAGTGAATGAGTGTCCTGTGGAAAAAATAATCTTAATTTATTATGCAATTTAGTATAATAGTGTACTGTTATGCATACACGGAGGCCAAATTAAGATGGCAACGGTAACCATGACTTTTTTGTTTTTTCTGAATTTTTGAATGCTTGCCTTTGTAACAGTAATGTTCTTTTAATGCAGTGTTTGGAAATAATTTCTAAGTTTATTTTGGTTTTTAGCACACTAAAATAAAAACAATACACAGAAATTCCATCACATGGCACTATATTGACCTCTACATGGGTCCTCAGCAAGGCTGGAACCTTTTAGTCTTGGGGGAATTCTATGTCAAAAAATTAAAAATTCTGTGCACAATATTTTAAAATTCTGTTTATTTTGTTTGTCAAAATAACACAATATAATCACACCAGTTTCAATTATTTTGGTCATTTATTTCAAAATATCTATCAGCAAGTATGTCTGTAACAATAAAGACAACAAAAAGATTCCCCCAGGAGTAGAGCGTTAAAGAAACCCCTACAACAACCCAGTTCTTGTTTCTCTGTTTATGCTTTTGTTGGGTGCCTCAGACTGGATGTGTCACATGTGCCATCTGGGCACATCTTGCGGAGAAAACTCTGCCTCTCTGATCTTTTAGTAATTTTTCACCTCTTGGCCTGCTCCCATAGGGTTACCATATTTCAAGTTCCCAAATGCCAGGCTCAAGGGAAGCGAAGCTGTGTACTGGGATGGGGTGTTTGGGGGTGCAGGAGGGGCTGCATGGTGCCCCTGGCCCAGACACCCGCACCCCCTTCGCCCCCAGAGCCCAGCTGCAGGCTCCACTCAGCTTCGTTACTGTCCTGCTGCGTAGAGACGACCTGTACCTGCTGATATGGGGGATGGGAGGCACAATTTAAAGATTCAGCTGCTCCTGGAACAGTTCGAGTTACACCCCCGTCCCCTTGGCAGGTCCCTATTCCTGCTTACCCTCAGATTCTCTTCTCAGAAAGCAGCAGCCCCTCCCTACAGACCCCAGGTATTGCTCTTGTCTCTCCTCACAGAGCGCAGCTGCTGTACAGGGAGGGGGCCTAGCTCACCATGTGACTAAGCGGGGCCGGCAAACCTGGGAACCAAAGCCCTGCTGCGCAGGTGCACTGCGAGCTGAGGAGCCAGGCTCTGCTGGGTACAGCAGTCCCTGGCAGTGGCCAGCAGCTCTGCAGCACCATTTCTGCAGGAAAAAATGAAATTCTGTGCAGAACTTTAATTCTGTGCAAATTCTGCATTGTGCAGTGGTGCAGAATTTCCCCAGACCTCTACCACATGAGCTAATGAAGTAATTGGTAGCAGTATGTGGACCAGCCACTAGAGGTGGGTGAGACAGATACACTTTGCCAATGGATTTGTGCTAGATAGCAAGGGATGATTGAGACTCTCTAATCTTGAGTTGAATTCCAGGTTCTGTAGGGGCAAGTACTCTAAAGTAGGAGTTCTCGCAACAAATTCTTTTGTGGCCTCTCTTGCTGGTGGCTGAACTGACACTTTTTTCCCCTAAAATACTTGATTAAGTTTAGGGAAAAAAATAAATAGCACATATACACATCCACATCATTGTAATTTATTTATTGCAGATACAAATATCACTTCACAGTAATATTTTTATTATTGAATGTTGGTTAATATCAATCACGTTTCACAGGACACTATCTGGAAGGCTGTGAGAAGTGATACTTGCATGTTTAATATCACATTTCTCAGCAACTCCCAGAACAAATTAAGCCCTGGATTGGGGGGTGAGGGGAGGGGTTGGCAGTGGGAGATGTGATGGGATGGATGTGGGCTGGGGGAGGCAACAGGGGCCTGGGGTGATGAAGGAGTGGATGCAGCGCCAGGAAGGCAGTGGGGTCCAGGGATGATGGGGAGGGGGGCATGGATGTAGGGCCAAAAGAGAGGAGGGTGTGGGGTGAGCCCTGCAGCTGTTTGGCTGGAGCGGGGATTGGCATCTGTTGCTGTGCGGCCAGGGGTCAGTGCCTGCTGCTAGAGCCTGGAGCTGGGGGCAGGAGCTGCACGGCCAGGGAGGGGATCAGTGCTCGTGCTTGGATCAGGAGCTGCATGGCCGGGCAGGGAGTTGGATCTCAGGGCCGCAACGCAGCCAGAGCCCAGAGCTGCATGACCAAATGCTGCGGGGGTCACTGCTCACTGCCACAAGGCCTAAGACAGCACCTGCTGCTGTGTGCCCAGTGCATGCTGCCACACAGCCAGGGCTGGGGATCGGCGTCTGGAGCCAACAGCCGCTTCGGTGTGGTTGGGACTACGGGTCAGCACCTGGGGTCAGCGGCCAGGGCTGGGGTTCAGAGCACATGGCTGGGGTTTGCTGCCAGGGTATTATTACATGGGAAGAACTTAGAATTTCAGAATCAAAAGGCTACAAGCTTTGACATATATTAAAAAAATTGAAAATGAAAAGGTAGATGAAGTGTTACTGCTTTTTAAAGAGAATATTTACAATCTTATAGTAAACTGTGGAGGTTCTTGGGTCTTTTGAACTTGTTATTTTTACATTGTGTCATATCTGACTGTGTTGGAACTAATTATCCCACCATCCTTTTCTGTTTCTTTGGAAGTGGCTCCTATCCTTTTTGCAGTAAGTAGGATAACTTCTGGTTACAGAAAATAAGGAAAAGAACAGCAGAAATAATTTCAACTAAAACCCTGATTTTCCTAGCTAATTTATACTGGCGGATTCTTGTGCCCATACAGATCAGCTGGCAAGGTCAGGAACTACATCATTATCATATTCAAAATAATAGGTTTACAAGGCGTGCTCTCTGAATCCTTTCTGATACTGGTGCTAGACACCATATAAACATTTAATTGAAAACCAGCAGAGAACCTATGGTACGTTGTACAGGTGTAGTCAGAATTCACTTAATTTTGCTGTAACTGTTTGTAAATCTGGACTTCCTTTTGCACTTGTAAAGAAAAGAGATTCATAAAGCATAGTAATCTGGAATCTGCCACATAAGCAGTTTGAATGTTTGTCAATTCGTGGAAACATGCATCTATGTCAGCAACCTAATATCTGCTATAAAGAGTCATAACGTATAATCTTTGTGTAGAGAAACTCAATTTGCTTTCAAGATTCACTTGAATGTAAAGCAGACCATGTAGCCCAAACATAGTCACATTATAGAATAAAATCATACTTTTAAAATACAAACAATATTTGACTATAGAGATTTAATGCTGACTAGCCTTGTTTTTAAATGCCAAAAATTGATCTCAAAATAATTACAAAGGAAGCTTCTTCAGAGATGGGTTTTAATAAAAAGTTACCACAATTCTTCTTCGTAACAAGAAGTGGAAATATGTCTTTCAGTACTCTTTATTTTTCAAAAAGATTGTCTGAAAAGATAATAAAGTGTTGGGAATAGTGGACTTAAGAAATATTACAGATGCCACACTTGATAACTGAAGAAGGGGAAATTTTTGTTCCATACAGAAAATTGGGAGATTAGCGGTTTTTGTGTGCAGGTATGGTGGCTCTCTGATATGTTAAATGTTGTCCATTCAGTCAGAGTTCATTTATGGAATGCATTTTCTAAATGTAAAAATACGCATATCTGCATAATGACTGACTTTTGTATTGATACCAAGTGATGTCTTGCTGTTATCTGACAGGTGTTATCTACTTGAAGAATATGATAACTCAGTATTGGCCTGATCGTGAAACTACACCAGGGGAAATCCCACCTTATTCCATCCCAGAAGAAGATAGACATTGTATTCGTGAAAATATTGTAGAAGCCATTATTCATTCCCCTGAACTAATTAGGTATACAGTTTTAATTTGCTTATAATGTAGTCATAGTTTTGATACTGTTGTTTTAAAATTAATACCACTTGCGTACTAAATTTCATTGTGTCTTGGATTGTAACACACAGATTTCAGAAAAGGGCAACAAAAATTATTAGTGTTATGGAACAGATTCTGTGTGAGGAGAGATTAATAAGACTGCGACTTTTCAGCTTGGAAAAGAGATGGCTAAGGGGAAATATGATTGAAGTCTATAAAATCATGACTGGTATAGAGAAAGTAGATAAGGAAGGGTTGTTTACTACTTCTCATAACAAAGAACTAGGAGTCACCAAATGAAATTAATGGGCAGCAGGTTTAAAACAAATAAAAGGAAGTATTTCTTCACACAACACACAGTCAACCTGTGGAACACCTTGCCAGAGGATGTTGTGAAGGCCAAGACCATAACAGGGTTCAAAAAAGAACTAGATAAATTCATGGAGGATAGGTCCGTCAATGGCTATTAGCCAGGATGGACAGGAATGGTGTCCCTAGCCTCTGTTTGCCAGAAGCTGGGAATGAGCGACAGGGCCTGGTTCACTTGATGATTACTTGTTCTGTTCATTCCCTCTGGGGCACCTGGCACTGGCCACTGTCGGAACACAGGATATTGGGCTAGATGGACCTTTCGTCTGACCCAGTAGGGCCGTTCTTATGTATTGGAGAACATAGAATTAATGCAGTTAGAGAAAATAGCGTTTTCATTCTTCATTTGTACATTGTACAACATGTAAGCAATTTATTTGTGTAACATCTTTTGTACTTGGAGAAGAATGGATTCCTAAATTATTATAACCCTTTTACAAAATTTCAGAAGATAGTAAATGCTAAGCAGAAGGGAAATAAAAGACCAGATTAGACTCCTCTGTGTGTAAACAAGACTTCCGAACTACATGTTAAGTTTTATCTGTTCAACCAAAAATGAGCTATTTCATCACCACAAAAAAACCTCTTAAAATAATGAAGGTAGTTATTTGTTTAACCATGTGTGTGTTTGATTTGCAGAGTACAGCTTACTACTTGCATTCACCATATTATCAAGCATGATTACCCTAACCGCTGGACTGCAGTTGTGGAGAAAATTGGTTTTTATCTTCAGTCTGATAACAGTGCTTGCTGGCTTGGAATTCTCCTTTGTCTTTATCAACTCGTGAAAAACTATGAGTGAGTTTTCCCCAAACAAAAAACATAGAAAGTTTATCCATTTGTAGCAATATATTTTCTGTAAGTTTTATATATACTTCTGAATATGTGCTGGAGGTTAATGTATAAAATATTGAATTGCATGTTGCACTGAACACTGATAATTGGAGGTAATTTAATATAAATCTCTGAATTCAATAACAAGTCTTGGTAATATTTCACCATCTGGAGATAGTAGCTCATGTTGTCTTTCCTAATTAGTTCCATAAACGCAGTACATAACAATCTTTCTTCATATTAAAACTTTGAGATCAGAATACTAGGGTTTCTTTAAAGCAGTCGTTTTCTGAGTTGAAGATGGGCATGATTGCACAAGTCTTAGTGATAGGGGAAAGAGTGTCCAGGGGATAAAAGCATGGCTTTGTCAGGAACAACATGAGAAATAATGTTTGTTAGACATCTAGACAATTTGTAATCTAGATATTGTGTTACATGTGAAAAATATATAACAGTTGCAAAGTCCAAAAATTCAAAAGCTATGAAATGCGAGAATTAAGGTTGTCTGTGCAATCTTACTTTGGGCCCCTTGTGCGTATGCATTGTCCATTCTCTCATAGGAAGTCTGTAGCTGTAGCAGAGATAAAATCCTATTCTCTAGCTCCCAATCTAGTGCCTTACATGCTTAATTTGTTTGTGAACATCTGATGTTTGGCTATAAACCAGGTGTATCTAAGTGTAAATTCAGTCCATGCAATTGTATGTGTTAAATTTGAAAATCTGTCCCTCAATGTGTAGTGTTATGGCTTAACAGTAGTAGGCAGTGATCCTTCACATCATCGGGTGTTAAGTAGCTGCCCCCGGACCACTTCCTACCAGCCTCCTTTTCCCCACAGATTAAATCAAAGAATCTCATATAAAGTCACTGACCTGCACGGTTAGTCATCTGCCTTTTCTTTGTAGGTGTGCTCAGGCAACGAGTTTCTGGGCAACACTGCCCCCAGAGTTCAGCGCCACTGGTCTCCTCCCTCTGAGCTGCTCTGCTTCCCCTTTTACATGCTGCCTGCAGCTTGTTCAGGCATCACAGGTGTGGTTGGGTGGAGCTGTGTAGGCCCACAGCTTCTCCTAAACACTTGCTCTCCCGTGTGGTGTTTGTACACCCCATCACTGTGGAGAATTTTGATATTTTGAATTTTGATTTTGTTTCACTTTGGAACAAAATGCAAAAAAATTTGAAATACTCCATGAAAGGGAATAGAGCCCTGGCTCCAGGTAAGTCCTCTTGGCTGGCTACCCTAGATCCATAGGCCGTGGAAGCACCAGGCAATCAAGGAGCTTCAAGCCTGGAAGCCCAGGCTCTCAACAACTCAGTGGAGTTGGGTAGACGAGATGACGGGAAACAACTTCCTCCATTGATGTGGTTCTATCAGAATCAAACAGAATCCACGGAATATTTCAATTTTGGCAAATTCCAGTGAAAAATTCCAAATTCCAGTGTTTTGCTGGATATTTTCTGACCATCTTTACTTGTAACTTTCTTGTCTATAAAATTATGGGTTTTGCTCACTGTTTTCTTGCTACTGTGACCTTGTTTTACCATAGAAAATTGTGTGGCATGTATGTGATGTGGCATTCAAAGTGAGTGAGTTAGCAGGAGAACATTACGGTAGTGTTGAATGATAGTAAAATAATGGAAGCTAAGTTGTTTTTTAACTTCATTTGGGTTTGGCTCTGTGTTGGTATAGCGCTTTTTATATGACCCCATGAGTGCCATAGTAAGATATAACTCAGTTTTTAAAATCTATCCTTAGGAGCCGCAGTGGCCTATGTGCCTCTCTTCTGTGCAGGCACAACTTACTTTTCATATCAATAAAGTTAGTTGTAAGATCTTTGTAAAGCATTTTATTCTTACCTAAAGGTACAAGAAACCAGAGGAGCGGAGTCCCTTGATAGCAGCAATGCAGCACTTCCTGCCTGTTCTGAAAGATCGTTTCATTCAGCTTCTGTCTGATCCATCTGATCAGTCTGTCCTCATCCAGAAACAGATCTTCAAAATCTTCTATGCTCTTGTTCAGGTGAAAGCAAATTTTCTGTATTCTTGAGCAAAGGTTTAATCTAAAGGTTTACTTCCTCCTTCTCTCTCTCGCTCTCTCTTCCACTTCCCCCCCAAATATATTACACTCTCTAGGTACTAATGTATTCGAAACAACATTACCAATTCTGTTTCATTTGAGTCATTTTTCACCAATGCTCAACTGTGGTGTGAGTAACAAGCTTTTGGTATGATTCTGTGTACCATAACACCAATAATACAGATTTTTTTTTTTAGTTTAAAATTGGGTTACACGTTTTTTGAGTCTACCATCTTTGAACTCTCTGGAACCTGCCAGTGCCACTCCTGATTAAGTCAGAGTGGTTATGAGAGAACGAGCCATTTTATAACACTAGAAACAACCATTTATCTTTTATAGTGTTACTATATTGAGCTTATCTAACCAGAAGGAAACTGGACTAACATGCTGTTCAGAGCATTATTCTAATATTAGGTTGGGTGGTCTTGCAATGAAATTTAAAACCAGATTTACCAATCAGTCTATTGTACTTTAAGCGAAGCAAAAAATTGTCTCTAATTCAGAAAGATATAATAACTTAAATATTGTGAAATCATCTTCTATAGCAAAATTCTAAATAAGGCAGAATTGAAAGGAAGCAGAATGTTTTTGAGGATGTAGAATAGGCTGCAAAAGATCTCTAACACCATCCAATATCACACTCACTTCTTTGCTCGCCGCTCATGGTACTCAAGTGTAGAGCAGATGTTCAGGAAGATTTTGGTAGATGAGCATTCAAACATATATAATTCAAGCAGTTGATTGGGTTGTTTTAAATGGCTTTATACTGAACCTATTTTATGCTTTTTAAATAGTATACGTTACCTCTGGAGCTGATAAATCAGCAGAACCTGACAGAATGGATAGAAATTCTAAAAACGGTTGTGGACAGAGATGTACCTGCTGTAAGTACTTTTTTTATGTGTATGTTTTTCTTTCGGCTTGCAAATTGGCTTCTGAATTTGATTTCCTGTATTTAAAAGTTGGTTAAAAATGTTAACAGTATTGTTTTCTTTATTCTTACTACAAGACATCTTCTAAATGTGCGGCAGGACAAATAAGATTTTGTAAGGTTAATATGGTGGTTTAAACAGAGACTAAATGGAGAAAGTTTAAAATATTACCCTTTCTTTATAGACAAAACAGCAACTTGCAAGTTGTATTGTAACTATGTTGGCTTTTTACAAAGGAAAGTTGTATTTGAACATTTATACATTACCTTTTTATTGTGGGCTTTTTTTAATTCATATTTTTAGATCTGATATTTCTGTTGATCTGGAAGCGTGTTTACATAGCTAATAGTGCAAAAAGAAAAGCAATTAAAAAAAAAAAAGACATTTCAGCAATATTCAACAAATTTAATCTTTCTTCCTAAAGGAAACTCTTCAAGTTGATGAAGATGATAGACCAGAATTGCCTTGGTGGAAATCCAAGAAATGGGCTTTGCACATCTTGGCTAGACTTTTTGAGAGGTAGTTGTTCTTCCCATGCCATCAAATTGAAAAAAACCTAACTTCTAATATGAAATTCAGCAAAATATTTCTTCATACTTGAATTTTTCACTTTTAATTTTAGGTATGGAAGCCCTGGTAATGTTTCCAAGGAGTACAATGAATTTGCTGAAGTGTTCCTAAAGGCATTTGCTGTTGGTGTCCAACAGGTAAGAAATGCTTGAACCTGGGGTATTAGAGTAACTGTGACATTTAGCAATAATTTTTTCCTTCCCCCATCTTTTCGAAGGATATGACTCCTTTCAAAACATTTTGCATTAACCTGATGCTATCAGGGAATATGCAGGAAATACTTACTTAGTTATCAACTGAAACAATCTAGTGTTCACTTCTTAAGAAATATCGTATGTTGCTTGTGTAATCTGTTGAAGTACACTGTACCGCAGTTAGGCCCATGACACTGACTTGGGCTTAGGCTGAAGGGGTGTTTAATTGCAGTGAAGATGTTCAGGCTCAGGCTGCAGCCCAAGTTCTGGGACCCTCCCAACTGACAGGGTCCTAGAGCCTCGGCTCTCAGGACTGAGCAGGGGCACTGGATTTATGGCTTATTACAACATAAATGCCAATACATTAATCCATGGTATGACCACACTTGAATACTCATGAAGTTCTGCAGAGGTGTTAACAGTCCACAACCTTCAGTGGTCCCATACAGTATGTGCTAACTATTTATGCTAAACAGGCTGTTGCACCTTGCATTCTGCTGTGATGCTCCAAGTACCTTTCCCAGAACTGAAAAAGAGCTCTGTGTGGCTTGAAATCTCTCTCATCAACAAAGGTTGGTCCAGTAAAAGATACTGCCTCACCTACCTTCTCTCAATATTCAGTGCAGTTTAGAAAGGCAAGATTTAATTCTCTCCCTAAAGTGGATTTGGCAGTAACTCCTTATAGAGGTGCTAATGTGCTATCTGTAGGTAAATACGACCTAAGGAGCCAAGTACCAAGATTGTCCATCCTAAGGAGGAGTTATGAAGCCTGGATGGCTCCCCCCCGCCCGATAATTTTAGTCTAGGCAGTTGATTGCATGGAAAAATGTCTTCAAAAGTTACAAGTTGATACTGTTAGGTAGAGAATATTTTTTCAGGTGCACTTCTTAGACTTGCCTAGAATCACAGTTTCTCTGTCTGTGATTGTGTTATCCAGGAAACAACTATGGTTCAGGTCTTTAAAGGAAAATTCTTGAGGGGCAGGATTTTTGAACCCATAGAAACTTCTCCTCTCTCTACAATATGAAGTTACATAGAAACGGAGTTATTTTGATCAGATTATCAGGAAGGACACACATTTTGGAAGATGGTGTATGCGTGCGCACGTGTGTGTGTGTGTGTATACATAAAAATAGGAAAGTCCAGAATATACTATTCCAACAGATTGTTTGCAGACATCAAACCCAACACGTGACACGGAACCCACGCTATTCAAAACTCTGACTTTTTGCACAGCGGTGGAGGTCAGCCTTAGGCATGTGCGCAAGGAAATTGATCCCTCAACTGCATGGTGGAAAAAATTCTTATAACATTTCTTTAATTGCAAAATCAAGAGACCCTCTGAAACACAAGAAAATAATAAGCAATTTCTGACGCATGAGGACAGGCTCAAGAGTTCCACTGACACTCTGTCGTGCACTCTGTTTTTATCAAAGAGAAATGGGGAGTAAATACACACTGTGGGATTACAAATTGTTCAAGTGCAGATTTGGCACAAAATCACTGAAGGTGTTCTTGGTGACTGTAGGCTTGCTCCTTCCTTCGTTGAAGAGCCATCTCCTATATTTCTGTTTGGGTTACAAAATATCACTGATTGCCAATATGAGGCTCCCTTGGTCATATCTCCATGAATTTTCAGAAGGGTCCTAATTACTGTTTGAAAGGAGTAGAGTACATGTCTGCTCCTCCCATTACTATCTCCTGATGGGTTTCCCAGAAGAAAGAAGGGATCTCTCAAAACAAAGGATAAATGGGAAGAATCATATAGCTCCAGCACCAAGGATCCATTATCTGGATGTGATCATAGACCCAGGATTTTATTTGAATAGTAATCTGAAGGTTATCCACCACTAAATTTTTGGACGCGTCATGTCACTCTGACTGCTTGGTGAAGCTATTAGTTGTACTAATTTCATACAGAAATGAAGTTTCTGCACTCTTCCTTCTTCTAAACAGCTTAAACAGCACAGTGAATGTACAGCAAGTGGTAAGAGATTATCTTACCACGAGGGTGGCGGGGAACAAAACATAGCTTCTTCCAGAAAATGCTGAACTGGGAAGACTTGAAACAGATCACTTACCTGGGGAGTACATTCCAGAACCCACGTAGCACAGGACAAGTGGTCTGATAAGTCTTATCAGCTGGCTGATGCTGAGACCAATTTGATTAGCTTTGGAAAGTATGATAAGTAATGTCAAAAGCAAACAGGTTTTCAATAATGCCATTGGTGTCATTTGAGCTGTCAAGGTTGAACCATTGAAATGAGCAGAGCAGAATATAACTTTTATCCTACCACATTTGGTATCAAAACAAATGAACACCAGAGCCAACTGATTATGTTATGCTGAAATAAAGTGGGGAAGTGGAGCTCCTGTAACTAGGAAATTCAGGAACTTGGTTACAGATGTTAACATCCAAGAAAAAGAAAACTAATAATCTTTTCCAGAAGTAGCTCTGGATGAACTTTCTTAAACCTGGCCAAAAAAAACATTTATACACATTATGCGCATTCCCACGTCTAACAAAAATAATCTAGAACATTTGGGAGGGACAAAATCAATTACTTGGAATTATCTTCACTGTTTGAGACACCTGTGAATCTTGGACTGCTCCGCTGATGAATTAGGGGTGAGTCCAATGATAATACTCAAATAAGCATAGTCTTACTGTTAGGAGGGTGAGGAAAGAGGTGATCAAGAGTATTCGCACAGTATTCTGGCTCATAGAAAATCTTCACAATTTATTGTATTTTATTGTTGAAATTCAAACATTGAGGGAATAACAAAGGAATTACTATAAAGATGTGAAACTAAGTAATATCTGAGAATTGTACTGGATGGCCTTTCCCTCAACTTAAAAAACAAAACAAAAAAAAAACACTCTTGTCCAGGTTTCAGCTATTGCTCATTTGATAAGAGCAGCAAGGGAAAGCTGATTTCTTATTCATATGTACCAGCTTCAAGGAATCCTCAGAGATACTGTTATCCAACACAGAACTTAAACTGGTTTAACAAGAAATCATCTTATATTCTAATCACTGCAGCCATATCTCTTTACGCATGTATGTGCCCATGCATAGCAAACAGTGTAATTATGATGGAATTCCAATTTTGATTTTATTCCTCTATTTCGGTTGCTGGTAATTTAAATTTAATTTGAACTAAAAATGTTCAAGCTTGATCTCGGACCAAAGGTGAAGTTTTGTGGAGAGTTTGAGTAAAATATATTCAGCTGCTTCTGAGTTCTGGATGTGTGTTTGAGTTATAAGGTTTATTTTAAAAACTTTTTCTCCATATACTGTGTACTCATAACTCAAATGGCTGCATTGACTTACTATATTCCTTAGATTTAAATATCTACAAAACAAACCAAGTTCAAATCAAGTGTAAAGGAAATTGTTTCAATAGTTTTAAGTGTTTAAAGGGGGAAACTTTATCAAGTAGTAAACATATAAGTTGTTTGATCAATTTAAATTTTTGAAAAGGCTGTGTACATGAGCCCATAGTTAGAGATGACAGAATTTAATAGCTAGATAAAGGAACTTACTAGCAGTACTGATAATCTTTAAGGGAATTCAATGCAAAATTGTATAATTTAATGCTAACTAATGCTAAAAAAACCTAAGCTCTCTGAAATCAGGAAATGCGGAAGGTTGAAAGTTTTAACACTGGTCCCTTATGCTTTGCCTTCTATAGTATGGTCTCTTGATATCTACTCATTGTCAAATACAATATATAATACAAACTGGAATTTCTGATGCAACCTTACATGCAGGAAATAACATTACAGGATATGTACTCTTGACTTGGCTTATATCTCAACAATTTATTTACGTTGTTTAGCCTTTAGTTGTGCTCAAAGTCGGTAGTTTGGAATATATTTTAGAATACTACAAAAGTAGAATGATTTTGAACATTGGAGCCTGTTTCACATTCATAGGTTAAATATCACTAAGCATAAAATATCTTTAACTACTGAAGTGATTTTCTTCCCCCCCCAACTTGGCTTGTTTTATAGCTTTTTACATTAGGCCTTAAAAATCAAGTCAATTCTGAATGTGTACTGTAACTTACTGTATATATAACTGTATATATAAGGCTGTATAAGACATTCCAACTCTATTGTTTAATTAACAGATTTAGTAAAAAGACTGTATTTTAAGGCATAACAGAGCTTAGAGAATCTGTTTCTTAAATACTTCATTTCTCAGTCTTGATGCAGAAATGTTAGGTTTTTTCCATGGAATATATTTTTAACCATCATCGTAGTCATCTTAATGACTGTAACTTTTCCAAGGAATATTTCTTAAATTAAAACAATTGAATTTCAACACTTTCAAGAAAATGATGGTATCAGATCAAAGTTTCATCCATAAAACAAACTTCATCTTCTGTGAGTCTCAAGACTCAATTTCATATCCTGTATCTCTTCATTTAGCTTACAAGAGGGTAAACAGCAGTTTTGATACAAATAAGGATTGCTTTTCTGACATCCCATGTGTGCCATTATAAAACCTAGGGTGTTTAAAGTCTTTGTGCTATGCCACTCTACTTTCTAAGGCAATGTATAAGCCATCTATAGTGGGATGGGTAAAATTCTGCATCTCCAAGTCTGCTAAGGTAATGAATGGGCTTTCAAACACCTTAATAGATCAGAGCCCAATCAATTTCAGTGAAGGCTAATACATAGGCAAAAATCATGAAACAATTTAGAAAGTAGTGATGTCCATCGTGAATATGTGGATAGATCCCTAGTTAAACTCCTGTGACAGTCTAAGGCAACTTTGTAATCTCATGTATAGATTTTCTTTTTAAACTGAATTATTTTTCAAAATAATTGGATCTCATCTTCATCCATATTTCACTACTGGTAAGGTTTTGGAGGATTGATAGATGTGAATGACATTTTCACATACATAGTGGATACTTTTCTTTTAATCAGTTTTTCAGTCTTATCAAAGAGACAAAACATCAACTAAGCATAGAGACTGAATTTGACTTCTCCCTTTAGTCCCACCAGTTGCTTCTTTCAGAACAATTGTGGTATTACAGGCTTGGGCTGAGCTGCAGGGAAATTTTGCAGGATGTTGGTCCCCAGACTCGTCCAATCACTTGGAGATTAAATACCAATAATTAATGCAGTGGATCCAAGTTCTGGTTTGCAGTCAGCCCTTGGCTTGACAGAATTTAAATTGCTAGACTTACCTGGAGGAGCCCTATCCCCTTAGAAAAATAGGGCCAGGAGGCATACGAGAAGGAAAATGGAGCCAGCCCTCTACCCTCTCTGTTGCATGTTGTGTTTTGAATTAAGGGTTTTATTACACATGTATGTTATATGAGGTGACTGATACACCTCCATAATGCCATATTAAATTCAAACATGAAGCAGCAAACAGCTGGAAGGCCCCAGCCAAGGAGGCCAAGCAGTTTGGCAGGCCAAGCAGTGCAGCAGCTGGGTCTGCAAAAAGAATTGCAAGATGAAATGTCAGTGGTGCTCATTAACTTATATGAGGGGAGAAAGGACCCATCATCCTGTGTTGTGGTGGTGGGTAGAGTTAGCATGAGTCACTGTTACCCAGACAGTTCTGAGGCCCATCTTCTCTCCTTTCCCAGGAGGCATTTTCTGATGATGGAGTGTGGAGAACTTGCACTATTGCTGCATGAGCCATACCTGTTTGGTTAAATAAAGGACTTCAGTCTCCAGGGCTGTCAGTCCACCATCTCTCATGAACACTATAAAAATTACCTGAGCAAATTAACTAAACTTGTGTTGAAGAATTGGACGTGGCACAGACCAGAGGAACCCGTCATATGTTAACTTAGACTAGTCAACACTATTGTAGAGTAGTAAAAATCTGTTTACATTTGCAAGACTGTGAGGGGCTTTGTGCGGGCGGTCCTGCAGATTAAATGGCTTCTTGGTTACTGGTAAGGTGTTCAGATTTCTAGAAGCTGTTAATGAGACTTGATTTTCACAGGTGTTGCTGAAGGTGCTGTATCAGTACAAGGAAAAGCAGTACATGGCTCCTAGAGTTCTTCAGCAAACACTGAACTACATCAATCAAGGAGTGTCACATGCTGTGACCTGGAAGAATCTGAAGCCCCATATTCAAGTAAAACATTTTCTGGGAATAGCATCTAAATGACCAAATTACTATGTATAAGTCAGTTTGTTTATAAACTCTCTATCCCTACTAGAATTTAAGGTGTATGAGCTTGTATTATAAATTGTTTATTGAGCTTTCAGGTCTGCTCTGGGGAAGCACATCTTGTTACATTAGCATAGTTGAAATATTCATTTTCTCTGGATGAAACAAAAACATTTGCAATATTTAGGCCCCAGTCCTGCAAAGACTTCTACTTTAGGCTTGTGAATAGTCCCATTGATTTCAAGCATGTGTCTTTGCAGGATTGCAGCCCCACTAAAGGCTAAAACCCAGATTGGTTGATGCTCCTTATCGTGGACTTGGACGCTCTTTTAAAATGTAAAACGTAGAGTGCATTTGTATTAGTATCATAATGACTTAATACAATGGTGTGAACTAAGACATCCAAATGGAAACGGCTTTAAATAAGCCCTCACAATATAAATAAGATTCCAAAACAGTCATGCAGTTTCATCAGCAGCCCTTTAGCATACTGAGCCTAATAGTTAAACTATTGTATTCTTAATGGATCAAGAATTGTACATACAATGCAACACCACACAAATTCAGAGTTAATGCCAGCAACAAAATTTATGCCACCTTTACCAGCTCAATACTCCATTACCCAAAGCAAACACAATGGCTTGCATTGCATTGCAGGTCGTCCTTTAATTGGAAGCAGTTGGCTTTTATCTGTTATGACCGTATAATCCATCCCATATCTAAAATTGATGTAAGAGAAAATTTTAAATTTTTTCAATAGAAGAAAGCAAATGATGATTGATTTAATAGGTTACGTCCTTTTTTTGTCACACTTTAATTGCAGGGAATTATCCAAGATGTTATATTTCCACTGATGTGCTATACAGATGCTGATGAGGAGCTGTGGCAAGAAGACCCATATGAATACATACGTATGAAGTTTGGTGAGAATTTTAAAATTTACATACACATTAAAAAATATAATGCCAAACGAAGCCAGTATTTTAAGAAGTGCATTGTGAAAATAGAGGTAACTAGGGTTTTTTGGTTTTTTTTTGTTTAAGTGTAGTGCACTTTTCTTAAGTGAGGTAATAGATCAGTGCTTGTCAACATGGCTACAGATACCTTAAATGCAGCTATCTTGGTTCTCACTGTAGATGAACAACGTGTGTGTGTGTGTGAACACAAGATGTTTATATGGTGGTGCAATAACTTCTTCATAGCTGTAAAAGAGCTAAGTTTTAAAATTACAGAAGGTTGTTTAGATTGGCTAATGCTGTTTTTTTGTTTTTCTTTAAAAATGCAGTTAAATTTAATCGTTAAAAGCATGTATGGCTTACATACAGTAGCTACTTTTCAGATGCTGATCTTTACCATGTGCCAAAATTTCTTATTACAAGGTCAAGTAATGCTTTACACAAGGCATAATTCGAAATAGATGTACCCATATAGAGACTAATATAGCCATGGAAGTTTTGGGTGTTCTGTTCATTTTTATGATGTTTTCCACTGGCTCTTCATTGTCTTTTGAAGTGTTCTAAAAGTCTTTGTAGCCTGTTCAAGAGGGGTGTGAAAGTGAAGGAATTGGACCTTCATGAAGGCTTTTTGATACACTTAGGACTTTAGGCTGCCTAGGATCCCAATGGGATATTCTTTGCCCTATGGGCTAAACCCCAAAATGCAAACCATATGGCTATTGACAAGGGTTCTGAAAGCCTCTGAAGAAGGTTGAATAAGAAGAGAATTAAAGACCTAGTTTGTTTTCAGCTCTCCCAGTTTTGCCTCCTTATTACAACTAAAAAATATTTTCCCAGTGTAATTAGTGTGTTAGATCTTTTGCAGATATAAGAGAAAGTCCTGGCCCCGGGGATCTTACAATCGCAAAAATTTGACATCATGCTGACAAAGGGTGGAATGTTTCTGTGCCAGAAAACTCAAGTCCTGTCTCGTCTTGTCATTTCAAAGTTTAATTTTCTTATATGAGAGCTGCGTTGAAATGCTTGTAATATCAAGGCACAGCTGGGTGACATATGTCTGAATACTGTTGCTCTTATTTTACATTAGATCCTTAATTTATTTTAACATTATGAACTGCATTAATGGACAAAAATTTATAGACTATTAAATTTATTTAATAGATGTGTTTGAAGACTTCATTTCTCCTACAACTGCTGCTCAGACATTGTTGTTTACAGCATGTAGTAAAAGAAAAGAGGTAAGCTGTTTAAGGATTAGCTTTGGACTAAACAAACCAAATAGTCTTATTTGATATTTTCTGCGCAACTTGCTGAGATATTTGAAACAAAAGATAAGAATCTATTAAGGTGGTTGTAAATCTTCCTGCTTAATACATAGGAACCATAATGTCACAATAATCCAATTGTTTTCTAGAAGTTTTTTTTGGTAGTCATCAATTCGTATGAATTTACTTCTTGAGGCTGGATAGCCATATTTGCTAATACACCCAGGAGTCATAAATCAACATGGTGTTTTAGCGATGGCATAAAGCAATGCCTAAACCCAGTCTTTTGAAGAAAAAATGAAATACATTTTAACAATGAGAGTATTTTAGAGACCTGACAATGGTATTTTAGAAGACTGACTGAACTATTTTTACTAACACAAAGCCCTTATCAAACTAGGTCCTGCAGAAGACCATGGGCTTTTGTTATCAGATCCTCACAGAGCCAAATGCTGATCCCCGTAAGAAAGATGGTGCTCTACATATGATTGGTTCTTTGGCTGAAATTCTCCTAAAAGTAAGTACTGATTTCTAGTGGGTTTTCTGGTTCTGTTTCCTTCTCCTTTTCTACCCATCCCCTCTACACCCAACCCAGTATTAGAATAATCGAGATTAGCTCTCTAAATTTTTCAAATTTTGGTTTAGATGTCATGGTACAACTCTTCCATGGTGGAGCTTAATTATTTGGCTCTTGAACAGTTGCAGACTTCATTATACAAATCTCTTGCAAGAAGCTAGACTTCAGAAACATACACATATAGTTCTGGTGTGTTGACAACAAAGGAATGTGGATAACTGAATGACTCTCTGACAACATTCATTATAAATTATTTCATGAGACTTATTTTAGGTTCTTGGAACTGCTGTGCTGCCCTTTGATAAGCAGTAAATTGCTACATAGGTTCTTCAGTTCCACTTGATGATCAAATTCCTGGTTGTTCATGTCAGAAAATTTGTTTGATCAGAGAGAGCCTACTGATTTAGGCTTCATTTTCTTGTATAAAACTAGTTGTGTAACAGGTTTAGCAACCTTGTTTGCTTACGGTAGCAGAGGATGACGTGGAAGAAGCTGATTTCTCTTAATTTGGTTATAACTGATCCATCTTTTGAGGTGGTTGCCCTTTCGTCCTTGTCATAGGTAGTTTGTCTTCGGTGTAAAATAGAGATAGAAACTGCAAAATAAAGAAGACTTAGTGAGCCAAAGATAAGAGATTGTTTAAAAAAAATACTGCACCATGAATCATTGCTCTTAATTGGTCTTGTTGGTTGTGATAGTGAATAGATAGCAAACCATGCCACAAAGTGACAGACGGGCTAAGAAGGGTAAAAAGTCTGTTTTTCTTTTGTGGTATGTTAAGACATCACACTGTCTCCTTATTTACACTTTTATGTATAAAATAAAATTAACAATAACTCAATTTTTTTCTCCCGCTTCTGGCTTTTATTTAAAAATACCAACTGATGTAATTGCCTTAATATTCTTGCAGAAGAAGATATACAAAGATCAGATGGAGTACATGTTGCAGAATCATGTGTTCCCTCTCTTCAGCAGTGAGCTGGGCTATATGAGAGCACGGGTAAGAATGTATAAGGTTTACTTTTATTCACTTGTTGATCTACAATTGAATAGCTTACAGTTTTTACTGAATTGTATCTTGCTCTAAATGGACAAACTATTTGCATCCCTCCTATAATAAAGTAAATTCAAGTTTTAATCATAAGTGTTAGTTTCTTAAGATGTAGCAACATATAATTTTTTAAATGGCTGCAGTACTGTGTGCATAGTTTTTCCTCTGTGTCTGGTGGTATGGTCCATTTGCGTTTTGCATTTAGACCATACTGCTCACACAAAACCTGTGGCCAAAGATGAACTTGAGATCATAGTACTGGTCTAGTGATGTCTCAAAGACAAACCTACCACTGGCCAGCCTCCAAACTCTCAAACATCTTCATTTGTAAAAGTTCTTAGTATTTTAGTTAATAAATAACATCTGTAGTACTAATTAATTATTCATTATTTTCTTGGAGAACTGACAATCCACAAGTGTTGTTAAAATGACCACTTTCTGAAGTTGTTAGATGCATTTATTTCACAGGCTTGCTGGGTCCTTCATTATTTCTGTGAAGTTAAATTTAAGAGTGACCAGAACCTCCAGACAGCCCTAGAACTCACAAGACGATGTCTGATCGATGATAGGGAAATGCCTGTGAAAGTGGAAGCTGCCATAGCACTTCAGGTTTTGATCAGTAATCAAGAGAAAGGTACACTTTTTTTTTTTGTTCAAGTTAGAGAAAACATCTCTGTAACATTTCTAAAGAAGACACAATTTAAGCAGAAAAGATATAATACACTATTTTCATGGGCTAAGCACTAATGTACTAGTATCGTAATTACCTTCTGGGAGATTCGTTTTATATTACCATTTCTATTCATGGTAATTTGCCAGCTGTAGTTAGAACAAGTGGAGTGCTTGACATAAGTAATTTTTGGACAAGGAAACTTCTGTCGTGGCTCAGCAAGCTTAGAAAGAAACATAACCTGTAACATATAATTGCTGTATTGCTGAATTCCCAGGTGCTATTTGGAGTCTTGTAATAGTTATTTGTTAACAGTTTTTTGCTGTATACAAAATTTAATATGAAGTGTTTGGGGGGGAGGGATAGCTAAGTGGTTTGAGCACTGGCCTGCTAAACCCAGGGTTGAGAGTTCAATCCTTGAGGGGTCCATTTAGGGATCTGGGGCAAAAATTGGGGATTGGTCCTGCTTTGAGCAGGGGGTTGGACTAGATGACCTCCTGAGGTCCCTTCCAACCCTGATATTCTATGATTCTATGTTTCATAGTACTTTGTTGATACACTTTGTCTCTCTGTTGGCTTTAGTTGTGTAAAAAATATATGTAGGCTATTGCATGTCAAATATTTCAGTAGTATTAAAGTGTGAATTTCTGGTTTTCTTAAACTGATACAATGATTTTTATAACAAGAATGTAAGAATCAACATAATTGGTGTTTTATTTCTACTTACTTTGCAGCTAAGGAATATATTACACCATTCATTAGACCTGTAATGCAAGCTCTGCTTCATATTATAAGAGAGACTGAAAATGATGATCTTACCAATGTGATTCAGAAAATGATCTGTGAATATAGTGAAGAGGTTACTCCCATTGCAGTAGAAATGACCCAGCATTTGGTAAGCCTGTTTGGTCACTTCGCACGTGGGAAGTTTGTTCAACATGAGGGATTTTGTTCCTTATATTCAAGATGGTTTGTCATTTGCCAGCTGATTTTAGACCAGCCCATTTAAACCCGTTAATGCAGATGTTTCGCATACCTTGTGTTCAGAAGCTGCTGTGTTCTTAGCACAATAAGCAAATGTCTTCCATAGAGAAATAGTAATCCTGATTTTAGCCATGATAACCCTTCACAGCACGCTTCAGAATCAGATTAGAGTAAAAAATCTTACTGACCTCATTACTAAAGTTATTAAAACAGAAATTTAGAAGCAGTTTTTGGTAGTAAATTGTGGGTGCCAATAGTTAGATGTTTTAAGCTAAATTAGTTGCATCTGAAAATTTCCTGTTGTGTTCTTGGGACATCCATATAGCATAAGTTGTACCTGCAGTTTCATAAGTACAGAGGCCAGGTTGCTGCTGATCTCAAAATCAGGCCCTTTGTGTTTAGGTTTAATGGTTTATAATGAACTTCACTTTTCCGTTTCCTGTGAATTAGTAATATATGTACAGTAATCCACTTTAGCTATCTGGTACAAAACTACTAATTCTATTCTGTTTTTGAATCAATCATCTCTGTTTTTGTAAACTGTTGAGTTAGCTCTGGGGTCTGTATTGTAAATGTTATTTCTTTATTTATAATTGCAAATCTACTTTATTCATATACAGATAAACCCTGATTATTCAAATGACTTTAGACAGAATTGAGAAATTTGGGATTTTGGAAAATGGGAATTTGGAAAAACAAAATTCTGATCTTGAGGGAAATTTCAAATAGTTGGCATTCACCTGTACTGATTTTTTTTAACACACGATATCTTAAAAATTCAGTGTACAGAGTCTCAAACCAAGCGTACCTTCTTTAATTAAACTACTTGAGTGACATACTTACCTGGGATTTTACTGTTACTGTGCAGGCAATGACATTTAACCAAGTCATTCAGACTGGACCAGATGAAGAAGGCAGTGATGACAAAGCAGTGACAGCAATGGGAATTTTGAATACCATTGATACACTCCTCAGTGTAGTTGAAGATCACAAAGAGGTAAGGAAAAACTCTTTCAAAGCAATTAAGTACCCTAAGATGCTGGAAAATAGTTATTGTACATTGAATAAAAATCCAACAATATGCTTTCTGCCAATGTTTTAAAATCCTTTTAGTTAAAAATCTGTTAAGCTTATTTACACCTACACACACAGGTATAAAATCATAACTATGTTGCATGTACAATCTAGGAGCCATAACCATTTAAGATCTTGGACATTTTACACATTTCTGTAGCAGTCCAGATACTTGGATATAATTCTTGTGTACCAGCAAATAGAGGCAGTAACCACTAAAATTGAGTGATGTCATTTGTTCAGTTTGTCTGTAGCAAATGTAACAGTCTTGTCAGCTGTACTGACAAATGTCTGACTTGGTGCGGTCTACCCTTGGAGGAAAATAAATGCATCAGTAATCAACTTACAATATTGTGTCCATTTCCTGCTGATGTATCAGTTTGCTGTCTGCCATGCAGCAAAGTATTGGAAAATCTGCATAAGGCCAAACTCAGTGTAGGGTTTTTTCTTTATTGACTTTGGCATGGTTGGCACTTAAAACTTACACCGGCATATCTGTCAGTCAAGGGTATGAAAAATATTCACCCCTGAAAGACATAGCTCTGCTGACCTAATCCCCATTCTAGACAGGGCTGACCTAGTTACTGCCTCCTTGAGGAGGGGGATTACCTACACTGATGGGCGAAGCCCTCCTGTCTGCGTTAGTAGTGTGCACTAAAGTGCTCCAGCTGTGCAGCTGTACTGCTGTGCCATTTTAAGTGTAGGCATTCCCTGACGTACCACAGTGGTGCAGCTGCATCTGTTCCACCCAGGTGTTTCTAGCATAGACATATCCTGCAGCTACACTAGGGGGCTCTGCTGGCATAACTCTGCCAGCATAGCCTCTGTAGTGTAGACACAGCCTTAGTCTGTGTTGTAAAATATTCCAGCAAAGATTGATGTAGCTACATTACTGAGTGTTATGCTACTACAGCTACTGACTTCTGATAAATGTTTTAATTCCATGGTGCCTAAACGGCTTGGTACTAAATATGTTCTTAAAGTTCCAGAGGTCTTGGTTAAGGAAGCATACTAAGGGTATGCCTATACTGCAATTAAAAACACACAGCTTGTCCATGCCAGCTGACTTGGGTTTGGGATAAGAGGCTGTTTAATTGTGCTGTAGATGTTCGTGCTTGGACTGGAGCCTGGATCATGGGAGGGTCCCAGAGCTCAGGCTACAGCCTGAGCCCAAATGTCTATATAGCCATTAAAAATTCCTGAGCTAAGTCAGCTGCCACAGGTGTCTAATTGCAGTGTAGATGTACCCTAAGACTTTTGTGTCAAAGCTCATAACATGATGCTGCCATATAACAAACCAAGGGACGTTCTGGTTTCTTAACTAGTTTACTGTGGTGTTATATGTATTCATTTATTATTTTTTTAATGGGGACTAAAAATGTTACTCAAAAACTAAATTAAAATAAGAGTAACAGTAAGTATAAGCAAAAACATACCTAAATGAGATTCCTTCAAGATCCAAAGAAGAATGGTGTTCCAGGAAAAAGATGGCATTAAAGAGAGGCTAACAGATCTTTAGCTATAATGGTGCAGTTATAATACATGTGGTATTCAAGAGAGATGTAATCTTGTAATGTTTGTTAGAAGGTGACACTCTAGTAAAGGTACTTTACAGAATTTTATTTTAAAACTTATTTAAAACCAGTTTTTACATGTGCTTGAAACTCATTTAAACTTTCTCTTTCAGATTACGCAACAATTGGAAGGGATCTGTTTGCAAGTTATTGGAACAGTTTTACAGCAGCATGTTTTAGGTATGTGTCTCCTTGTTTGTGTCAATTATTTGCCTGTCATTAGCATTAAATTTAGTGCTAAAGTGCTACTTCCATTTTAGAATTCTATGAAGAGATCTTTTCCTTGGCTCACAGTCTGACATGTCAGCAAGTCTCTGCACAGATGTGGCAGCTTTTGCCTCTTGTTTTTGAAGTTTTTCAGCAGGATGGCTTTGATTACTTTACAGGTAAGAAATCCTAATAAAAAATGTCTTAAGATTAGTGGGTTTGATATATTTGTGTTGCGGCATAAATGAAATAAATCTTGATTGCAATTTAACCAATGTTCAGAACAGAGTTATATTTGCTGTACGTTATTTTGACCAAAAATAGTTTTGCTTAAGCCATCTATATAACCAGGTTTGTCAGGTGACATCCTACTATAGTAGCCAACACCATGTTTAACTAGCTTACAATAAGCCTGAAAGCTATGTATTAACAGCTAGTGTTGTAAAAAATACACAGAACGGCTAATTGATTATTCTTATTTAATAGATATGATGCCTCTCTTGCATAATTATGTAACTGTCGATACAGACACGCTTCTGTCTGACACAAAATATCTTGAAATGATCTACAGTATGTGTAAAAAGGTAGGTAGACTCCTTCTGTCTAAAACTTACTGGCCTGTGTACAAAATGGAAAAAAAATTTTTGTAAAAATGTACTTCCTTTTACAACAATAGACTCTCAAACTGGAGACTTTTTTAAATTGTATCCTTCGGATATATGTTGTTTGGTATTTGCCATGACTCTGCAAGGAACAGCAGCTGAAAAAAAGGAATTTACCAAATCACTATCAGGGGTTTAGTTAAAGTAAACTCCCTCCTGCCCCCCAATAAGTTGTGCATCACATAAGAATATTAGAAATATGCACGGGCAATGGCTGGAGTCAGTCGTCATCGTCTTGTATTATTTGTATTACAACAGTGCCTAGAGTCCCATTTGAAATTGGAGCTTTATTATGCAAACATGTAGTAGGAGATTAAATCTAAATAGACAAGATAAATAACGTGGCAAGTGAAACAGGCACAGGGAGATGAAATTACTTGCCCAGGGCCACACGGCAGATTTGTGGTAGAGCTGGGGATAGAACCCTGGTCTCCTGGCTCCTGGTTCACCATCTTTTCCACTGGACTACACTGCCTCTCAACATTTTCTGTCCTTGGCATTTTAATCTTGTCAATATGTAGGGGTATATCGCATTCTTTGGAACCTTAGCCCTAGTTAGCCTAGGGAAATGCAAACCTTCTCAAATACAGTTCGTTTTCTCTTCAGGACTTGTGTATTGTATATGTGAGTCTTGTTATCTGAACTCTGCACCAAGCTGCTCTTTAGATTGAAGTGCTAACATTATTTCCTTTGGTTGAGTCTATGATTGGAAGTGTTTGAATTTTGTTGTGAATAACTTATCTGAAGAGTTATAGCCCTTTTTGTGTTTGTGAATTATCTGCAAACAGGTTGATTTTTTTCATCTGTTTATTTTGTAATTGAGTAGTTCTTGCAAACAAACCATCTTAATTATTTGTGACCTGGTCATTGTCAGTTCTTACTACTTGTTGTTTTCTATTAGTGCCATGTGGTTAGTCCTAGATTTTTATAGTATTTTCTGGTCCCTGGTTGGACAACAAAAATGTTATAAACAGGCTTTATAAAATTCTATGTGAATTGTTCAGATAACTATTCAGTGAATCTTTTGCACAAATAAACGTTTTCAAAATGGCTAGAAGCACTTCTTATGCACGTACTCCTATAAAGTTGTATACATACTAAGATTCAACATTTTTGCAGCACAAGTAGATGGTTGTTAGCTGCAACCATTTTTTTTTGCTCCACTTACATATCTCCAGTTATGATCCTGAACCTTTGTTGAAGTTTATTCCCTTTTGTTTCTCTTCTTCACTGATGAAAGCTGGAAATGGCACTCCAGTTTTTATAGGACACTAGTATTTTAATAGAGATCTTAGTTGTAGATTAACTTCTCAGAGAAAAACAGAATATCGAAAACATCTTTTATCCATAAGCAGAAAACTAACAGTAGTCTACTGTTTTTCAGGTCCTTACCGGAGTTGCAGGAGAAGATGCAGAATGCCATGCAGCAAAGCTATTGGAAGTCGTCATTTTACAGTGCAAAGGGCGTGGCATTGATCAGGTTAGTTACGTCTGCTTGCTATCTTAAAATCATGTGACAAAATCCACCATGTTTTAGTGAAACTAACAGTATCTGCTGAGATATCATACTGCAGTGCTAGGAGTATTATTAGGCAGCACTGGTAGAGCTAAAGAGCATACTTTGCCTCCAGAGGTAGAGTGCATCTGACAATCCAAAACACTTCCATGCATGAGGGAGCACAGTTTAAGAGCAGACTACCTCTTTTCGCTGTTGGATTAAATTCTGTAATGCACTTGAGTGCAAGGGAAAGATTTAATGGACCACATGGCAGCCCAGAATGAAGAAAGAGGGTGAAGCCCATAGCATCCCTTTTTGTACTGGCAAAAAAGCACCATCTGTAGGGACGCAATAATTTCTTCAGATTGTGTTTTAAAGAAAACTTAATCTGTGTTTCAGAGGAACAGCCGTGTTAGTCTGTATTCGCAAAAAGAAAAGGAGTACTTGTGGCACCTTAGAGACTAACCAATTTATTTGAGCATGAGCTTTCGTGAGCTGTAGCTCACGAAAGCTCATGCTCAAATAAATTGGTTAGTCTCTAAGGTGCCACAAGTACTCCTTTTAATCTGTGTTGAAATAATACTGCTAACCCTCTGCTTAGGGAAGCAGAGAAACTATTCTCACACTTCTGCTGGATATCCTGAGTTACATCCTGTAATGCTGTTCTCCAGTATTAATAACTGACATTACTACAGTAAAAAGTCAAAGGTGTGTTGTTTTTTTTTAACATGGGAAGTGACTAAGTCTGTTTTCTGGAGTTACTGATGTTCATATTCTATTTACACCAGCTAGTTTTTTAAAAAAGAAGATTACAGAATTATTGGGGAATTAAACATACACTTAAATATCTTTAGCATGGCTATCATGGGTAATATTACAAACCCAAGTACTACATATAGGTTTACTCACAGTTAATGATGTATTTCTTTCATGTTGGCTTGACTTCTACCACCAATTTAACACTGAGGTGTTAATATCCTTGCTTTACTTACTGTTTTATTTCATCTATGTGTATAACCTCAGGTATATTTGTGCACCAGACTGCTTATTCAGCAGTGTTATGTACCATTCTGCAACTGTACCTATGAAATACTGTTGTTAAAATTATATATCTAATTATTCCATGTTGTGTATATAATTAACTCTTGCTTTTGGGGGGGAAGGGTGTTAGAACCGTTATAAACTCAGTATTTTAATGGATCAATCTCTTCCAGTGTATACCTTTGTTTGTGGAAGCTGCATTAGAGAGATTGACCAGAGAGGTGAAAACAAGTGAACTGCGAACGATGTGCCTCCAGGTTGCCATAGCTGCTTTGTATTACAACCCTCATCTGTTATTAAATACCTTGGAAAATCTTCGTTTCCCCAATAACGTGGAGCCTGTCACTAATCACTTCATTACACAGTGGCTTAATGATGTAGACTGTTTCTTGGGGTAAGCTGCTCTCAGTTTGAAGACTGCCATGTGTAGTCTACCACCTATTTTCTATTTTTAGAAATTGGAAATAAGTAGATATAAAATGTTGTTGTTTTGTATTTTAGACTTCATGATAGAAAGATGTGTGTGCTGGGCTTGTGCGCTCTTATTGATCTGGAGCAAATACCACAGGTTTTAAATCAAGTTTCAGGACAGATCTTGCCAGCTTTTATCCTTTTATTTAATGGATTGAAAAGAGCATACGCTTGCCATGCAGAGCATGAAAATGACAGTGATGATGATGATGAAGCTGAAGAAGATGAGGAAACTGGTAAGGAAACCGAAACAGTACTGTTAAATTTCAATGTCCCCTCCATGTCCGACAGTCTCTAGAGCATGGGGACGGCCAGCCCCTTCCTGTAATTCCCCACAGTCCTCTACCTCCACAGATAAAGCTAGTGCTGGGGCTTTGGAGCTTCTTTTTAGCCCTTTTATGGATCAGTTTGGCAATTTTCCTGACTGGAGCAGAAGTAAACTTTTTTTACGGATGAGATTCCTGGGCTGCTTCTCTCCAGAGTTGTCTTGGGCCGGCTCTTTTTATAGACATCCCCTGATTCCCAGGGGGTTATTGCTGGGACAGACCTTTCCCCCTTGCATCTATTTGAACCATGAGTGAGGGGCACAGAAAGAGAGCTGTAGGTGGACCTCTTGTTTCTCCACACTCCAGCTGTGCTACAGAGTGTCCTATGTTCTGGTGCTTTGAATCTGCATCTGAAACAGCACCTTCCTGCCTGTTCTAGCGTAATGTAACCTCCACCTCATCAGCTGTCTCCACTCTATCCAACAATCATCCTTTCCAATCTCTCTAATCAGTCTTCCTCCTCTTCAGATCTCTTCTTTGTCTTTCTGCATGAAGTTCAAACTTTTGCAGAACTTTTGCCTGTGTCCACATCTATAGTCTCCATCACTTTCCACCTCTCTCCATGCTCCTGCCTGGACTTTTTAAATGCTAAATTCCTTGGGCTTAGGGACCATGTCTTGCTTAAATTTCTGAAGTGTCATGCAAAATTTGCCATATAAGTGTATTTATTAATAACTAGTTTCTTGTGGCAGCAACATGTTCCTTTCCTACTGCTCAGAAGATAAGGAAAGGGACCACAAAGGAAAGTGTGACACTGGTAGAGGTGGAGAGGAGTGGCCCCTTTTGTGTGACACCACATTTTTATTGATTCCATCACTGATCAGTATAACCGAAATCATACCTGAAGATAACAATTTGATTCTGAAGATAAAAATCTCATTGCTTTGTATGTAAAAGAGTCCTCTTCTGTGACATTCGCCTTACAGAGGAATTAGGGAGTGATGAAGATGATATTGATGAAGATGGACAAGAATACCTAGAGATTCTGGCAAAACAGGCAGGAGAAGATGGAGACGATGAGGACTGGGAAGAAGATGATGCTGAAGAGACTGCTCTGGAGGGCTATTCAACAATTATTGATGATGAAGACAACCCTGTTGATGAATATCAGATATTTAAAGCAATTTTTCAGAGTAAGAACTGTATTTCATCTGCTAGCTGACAGTTACATATTTTAATTCAATTTTAATTTGTTTTTGGAAAATTAAATGCATAATGGATTGTCGTTTAGTGACAAATTATTAATTTTAGTTCCCTCCCTAGAGAGAGAAGTCAGTGTAGCTTCCTGGGTGGGAGAAGGGAAGGTTGAAAGCAGTTAGAGAGATTAACATTTTTTGAGGCATTTTCATTGCTTTTTAGAACACTTGTATCTGTTTCTGAAATACCACTTTTAAGATTTCTTGTATTCTTAGTATTGTCTCTTCCTAAGGGGAGACCAAGTCAAAATACAGGCTGCTTTCTGATTAAGGTGGCAGTGAGAAGAAGTTCTGAATGATGGATTCTAATGAGATGAATTGTCCTTTTTTTCTTTGTAGCAATTCAGAATCGTAACCCCGTTTGGTACCAAGCTTTGACACATGGTCTTAATGAAGAACAAAGAAAACAGTTACAGGACATAGCAACTCTAGCAGATCAAAGGCGGGCAGCCCACGGTACCTTCCCATTCATACTTTATGGCATTTATTATTTTTTACTGTTTAAAAGTTGATATGCTCAGTGCTTCACAAGACATGCAACATGGACAGACCCTATCCAAAAAAACTTACATGTTAATAAGACATAAATAGAGTGTGTGGGTTGCAGTGGGAAGCCCAAAGGAGAGAGGATAATTAGTGTGTTTTGAATAGTTCAGCATTAACTTACAGCTTAATGTTTTAGCTTTTGATAATGTAACACTGTCAATATTTCTGCTTAAAATTGTTTACTGAATAGTGATCTCTCTCGAAACATATATTGGAGGTGGTTCAGACTTGCCCACAAGGTTCTAAGCCCTTCTGTACTTCTGCCTGTTTCTGTGCCTCCAGTGATCCAAATAGAGTAATGTCTCTGTTCCCACCATTGTAGTCTTAACTTCTAAAGCTGATTGGGAGAGCAGGCAGCAATAAGCACAACTTCCATGGCTTTGCTCTCCAAACAGGGACCACCTGCCACGCTCCTTTGTTTTGTTTTTTGTCTCCTCCCCCATCACAATGGAGCAGGCAAACAGAACAAGCTGAAGACCATGAGGTACGCAAAATACAAGGAGACCTCCCAGGAGTTGGAGGAGCAAAGTTCTGCCACAGTTGTTCTCTGCTCATGTAATCTCACTCTGCTGGGTGACAGGCCTTGGTCTATGTGGCTTGTTTGGGTCTGTGGATGCTTCTCCTCCCCCATAAAGCAGAGACTCTTTTAGAGTCTCCTCTGCAAGTATGGATCAGTCCTCTTCATCTCTTGGGACTCAGCAAGTTGGAATTTCATCTCCATGATCAAGGACTCTTTAGGGGGAAGTCCAAAACTCCAGGCCTCCCGTCCACTTAAGGGAAAGGATGTCCCATTGGAGGTTCATTCCAAAGTGGATAATCAAGTCACCTGGCAAGGAATCTAGAATCCTGACTGTCCTTGACTTATTTCCTAGCTGCAATCATGTCGGTAAGAAGAATCTCCAAAATCTCTGCTCTTGAAGAACATGTAACTGACTGTACCATCCTTGAGGACTGTGTATTTTGTACTCCACAGTCTTGTAACCAAGGTTTACCTTTTCCACCCTGCTCCCCACATCTCCAGTGCCTCACAAGCAAGCAGTCTTCCTTTAGCTAATACAAAACCTCATCACATGATACAAACAGTCTGGCATATTGTAAATGTGAGCAGTGGTGCAAATAACTTAGTAGAGCTGACCGCCTGGAAAGCATTATTTGTTTCCTTTCTTTCTAAATGCCTGGGCCTGAAAGCATCGAGACCATCTTTAGTTAGGGTGGATCATGTGGTACAGTACACAGAATATGGTCTATGGCAGCCTGGGCAGAAAGGGCATCAACCACCGGAGGATTTCTCTAAAGTGGCCACTTTATTCATTCATTAACAGGTTTATAAAATACTACAGTATTAACCATCATTCTTCAATACAAGCATAATAGATTAAAGTTCTTAAGATTAGAAAAGAGAATATTTTCCTTCTGTTTCTTACTACTTTCTCTCGCGTATGTCTGATTGGGGATAGGTCAAGATCCAGATTGGAAAATTTGTTCTTTTCTTGGACTGACCTCGTCCATTCTGCCTTACCTTCAGAAGTTCTTCAGATATATCTTCTGAGTTCATGTATATAATTAAATAGGATTGAATAGTAACATAACGAATCAGACCAGTGGTATGGCTAGTCGAGAATCCTGCCTATCAGCAGCCAGTAACAGTTGCTTGAGTGGAAAGGTGCAAGAAACACAGTAAGCAACTATAGAATGACCCAAAGGGAAGGGTTTTTTTTTTTTCCCTAATCATTATCAGAAGTTAGTTTATGCTCTGAAACATGTTTTCAAATGCTTGGGTTTTTTAATATCTACTGTTGGAACTCTGGATGTCTTTATGCATATAAATGTCCAGATCTGCTTTGATCCCTGCTAAACTCTTGGCCTTAATGATACCTTGGGGGAGTGGGCTCCACATGCTAACTGTGCATGTTATGAAAAGGATCAGTTTTAAATTTTCAGCTGTTGGTTCTTGGCGCAAATTAAAGCAACTTTGAGGCTCATGTAATTTACATCAGCTGGTAATGTGTTTACGTGCTTATGTTAGCCAGGGATTGCCCATAGCACAGAATCCTCCAGCTGGGCCCTCTGCGACTGAGCACACTGCTGACTTGCCCTATGTTGGAGACAGTTAGAATGTAGTCCACTATTGCTGACTCTATGCCATGCAGGAATTTCCCTAACTGAACAGCTTTTCAGTCCCTTTACAGCACTGGAGCAGTGCACAAGGCTCATGGCATGTGCAAGGTTTTGGTTCTCAGTGTTTTCCTTACTGCTCTGGAAGAAGTATTTGTCTGGTCTGAGTGCAGAAGAGGCACAAACAAGTCTGAACTGCCCCTGGTATTTGCAGGAAGAGAGGCACCATTCAAATGCGTCTGATCGGGAGAGAGTGTCTCAGAGAGGAAGTAATCAGGCAACTGTATGTTGTGCCTTTGATCTATACTAGTCTTGATTTGTGTGTGCATTGTAACTTATGAAAAGACACACCAAAACTATATAATTTTTTAAAAACACATGGAAACTATATGACCAGTCAATGTGGTCAGAGTTCAAATGTAATCGTTGATCCCTTCAAGATGAGGTTAGAGACGTGGACTCTGTTTGATAGAAAGAAAGGTAGCTGAGATTGAGAATTGGAACTGGATGAGTGGAATGTAGAGGGGATGTTGAATAATTTAGTGCTTTTTGTTTTTTATAGTTTGCACCAACCTATGCAGTGTAGCAGCCTTAACTGGAAGGAGACGGTTTATTTTGTGTGTGTGCCCATGTGCATAGAGAACAACTTTCCTCTCCTCGTTGTTCCATTTATATTTCCCCTCCTACTGTTGAATCTGGGCAGGAACATTGAATTTTTCATTGACGTTCAAATGGTGCTTATTTAGTACAAGTACGTGTTTTTTTTTTTTTTAGTGACTTGATTGACTGGTTCGTAGAATATCTCTTGTTAAACAGAAAGCATTGGAAGTTCAGTAGCAATCCAGTGGCCAGACCTTCAGCTATGTTTGACTCCTATTCAAGAACATGTCACACAGGAAGCATTTCATTTAAAAACTGTAATTTTTGAATTTATTATTAATATTCTCCGTAGATTTTTAAAATCTATTGCCAAGATTTTCAAAAGTGACTAGCAATTTTTGGGTGCCCAATATAGACACCTTAAAGGAATCTGATTTTTAGACTGTTGCTCAGCAGGTGCATTTTTGGGTGTCTCAAGCCCCCAAAATCTGAGGCATTCACAAACCGATTGTGATACTTACATTTTTTGATATCTTACATTCTACTAAAATATTTTTGTCTTTCAGAATCCAAAATGATTGAAAAGCATGGAGGATACAAATTCAATGCTCCAGTTGTGCCAAGTTCGTTCAATTTTGGAGGTCCAGCCTCAGGAATGAATTGAATTATCATTTTTCCTGCTACTGTGTGATTGTAGTGAAGAGCTTGTGTTCCTCCCAATAGTGGTTCCAGAACTGGTTCATGTTATCTACAACTCACTCTAAACGAATTGATAAATAGATTGGACAAAAAAAACCCAGGAAGTGGGACCTGATCATGCAACCTAATACTGGAAAGCAAACCAGAGGTTTTTTGAAGATAGGAAGAACCTGACTTGAAAGCTTCAAATGACACACTGTGGAAATCTGAAATCAAGAGGGGATGTCATGAAGGCAGCTTTTCTTTTTCTGAGGAAAAAATAGGCATGGGCTGCAGGACTATTTAAAATGTCTCATTTACAGGACAAGCTAGAAGGCTGATTTAATTTTGACACTTGTGGCAGTATGAGTATTGGCCCAATTTCCTTCCCTGTCCCTCCTCTCTATTGGGTGTTTATTCTTTTCATGTAAATAAGATAAGGTAATCGGATAGCCTTACTTAATCTTCATCATTTCCATTCATCAAGATTGTTCATATGTAGAATATTGGACACTTATTGTAGCACTACATAACTGGTAAATCTGTAAATGAATTAGCACTTTCATATTGAAACAAGCCTGCTAGCCTATGTACAAAATAGCAAAATGTTTGCTGTTTATTAAAAAAAAAAAAAAAAAAAAAGGATGTAATGGGGAAAATAATTTCAAGTTTTAATTTAAAATTAACTAGCAGTTTTGTACCTGGTGACTTTGTGGTGCAGTCACCTCTGGTTGTGACTTGAATTCGGTTATGTAAAAAGGGGTTAGTGATATTTCATTGCTGCTAAAAAACAAACAAGAAAAAGGCAACACCCTCTGTGTCCTTTGTTTTTCTTAAAGCTCTCAATGTACAAGTGGAAATTTGGAGACAAAATCTTAATGTAAGCACTGAGAAACATTATCTTCTCTGAAGCATGTAAATTGGACATGAAATTCTGCTCTTAAAGAGTTTATTGAAGTGTGTGGATGAAACATCTATATATGCAATCTATTAAAAATTAATTCGGCTAACTTGGGCTTGATCTATGATTGCAGTTTATTCCTAATTTTGCAAAATAATTCATCCTGTTTTTTTCCCAGCAACTGGTAGTGGCTTTAACCACTACATTTCCTTCCCTATTTTTGCACTCCCAGCATTAATATGTGCTCTGTTTGCCTGGTCCAGATGGGATGTTTGAGGTTTCACCAAGCTTTCACTTTTGAAGCCATACTTTCCCCCTTCATCTCCAGCTGTTATAGTACCTCGTATTTTAGCTAGAAAGGCAAAATAAAGTTCCCTCTGGGACCACTGTCAAAACCACTCTATCTAGAAGCCAGCAGTAAGGTGCTGTGAATGGGCTGGTTTATTGCCCCCTTTTTCTTCTCTGAAAATCTAAATTAATAGTTTGATCCTGTGTTGAGATCATTGGTGTCAAATCTTTTAAAGCAAACATTCTTTCTTTTGGCTGTTTTTATGTGTCACCTGCTGTTACAACTGATATTAAACAAGCTACCTTAATTTAAATGTAAGCCTCCAAATCTTAAATGCAGGTTAAAATGAACTGAGTTTATATCTGTAAAAAATGAAACTGAAATGCACATATATATAGATATATATATATATATTATGATATTCAAAATGCAGTCTTCAGAAAATTGGTTTGTGTGGTGTGTTTATTTTTTGAGTCAACAGAGTAACAGGTATCCAGAAGTTGGGTTTTCCTTGAGTTTGACCAGTAATAGTTACTACTTTTTGGCTTGTCACACAACTACTAGGACTGTTCTGAGCAGGGCTAATGGACGTTTCACTTATGCCTCTGTTTTGGATTGCCTTTCTCTCACAAATCTTTCCATGTGCACAAAAACCAGTTCTAATGTGAAAGACTAGTCCAAGGCTGTGATGGAATGTTTCCCTATCTGAACACTTTAAGGGGATATGTGTAAGCAGTTTGTGGAATGAAGGAGTAGGAAAGAATGGATATTGCATCTGGTATAGAAGAGCCTACGGTTAGCCTTGAGCCTGGGTATCCTATATAGAGATGTAGTATGATAGCCCCATTATCACTTGCTGATTCCTAAAAAGGTTGACTGGCAAAGTACATATTTAAAATAAAACTTCTGAAAATGTGTATTCATTGCAGGCCTCAAAATGTGTTCTACTGTTGAGGTGGTAATCTCAAAACTTGATTTTGCTTTTGTGGCAAGGTGGTACAAGATATTATTACAGCATTTACTTTCCTGTCCATTCCTGAACTTTGAAAGCTTCCCTAATTTAACATGTTAAAAATAAAATACTGTATTTCTAAACTTCCACTTGTGGGGCAATAATTTATCTACTTATGCTTCCCAAGTATTAAAAAAAAAAAAAAGCTTAGTTTTTGGGTCGGTGAGCATGACAATTTGGGTTGCAGGGAGGGAAATTTTGTGTGTGAGGGTGAAAAAATTGAGGGAAAGCTAATGAGAAGCTAGTTTCATGGTTATTTAGAGCTTGAATAGTTATATTTCTTGAGTCAATGGAAAATTTCTGTATCAGTGTGAAATAATGCAGTCTTATTTCTGATGATTTCATATGTATCTCAAAATTGGTAGGAACTGCATCACTTTTCAGGGTGGAACTGGGATTTGCTTTTTCTCTTCTCCAACAGGTACATTAGTATACAGTCCAAAGGAACAATTTTGCATTGGCAAGGTGATATGCTAGATTACCTAACAAGTTATGTTCGTCTTTTACTTTTAGTGATATTCTCATTGTACAATTCAGAACTGACTCCTTTTCTTGTGGGAACTTTCACTTATTCTGTTAGATTCTTTAAGTGTGTTGAGGAACTTAAAACCTGAGTGGTTTTTCTAATGTTGAAATTTTCCATTTGGATTAATATATCTAAACTACATCTTCACCACTTATCTCGCTGCATAATTCCAAACGCATAGCTGTAGACTTAGAATATCTTGGACTCTTGTTCTAGTTACATCACTCCTTATTAAAGTTTGCCTTATCCTGCTAACTATACTTTTTTCAAGCAGACATTCACAGATACAGTGCCTCACATTCCCCTTAAAAACTACACTTTTAAAGTTTAAAGCAAAAGTCAAGATATCTTTAAAGATTTGTGAAACCTTGTGAAGATTTGACATGCTCTGGCCCTCAATAGCTTATCTTAGGGAAATTTCAAATGTCTGGTTTAGAAACCATTTTCTTATAATTATTTCTGTCCTGGTCAGAAGTCATATTTCATGGATATTTGTCCAATCCAGGTGAATGAAAGCAAAGTTGTTTTTAAATAGAAATTACTATTCCTGTTCAAAATTAGAGTCCTGTTTTAGGTCGACATTGGTCCAGTATTAGATGCGTCCAAGGAAGTTTGAAGAAACCCCCTATCAACAAAAAGAAAAGGAGGACTTGTGGCACCTTAGAGACTAACATTTATTTGAGCATAAGCTTTCGTGAGCTACAGCTCACTTCATTGGACACGTGACAATTATGGAATAACGTGCCCATGGGGAAGTTTCTTGTCCCACTTGTTAGTGGTTGGCTTATATCTACGGCTTTGGATTTTTTTATTTTAACTGATAAACACTGATACAAAATGAAATTAAAATACATTTTATTTTATATCTCTGGCAAATACTGGAAAAAACTAAACGATTACTTGTATCTAAGCCCTGGTGTACACAGAGCAGTAATGTGGACTGGGGCAGGTGATTTCTAAAACACATTAATATGCATTAATTGGTCACTATGTACCCTGCTGATGTGCACTAAATGTCCCTAGTACATTTTAACAGTGCTGTTTGAAATGACTATGTTAAAGCGCACTTGGGAACATTACAAAGATTGCTCATTACAGTACATACAGAAGAAGCCCTGAAAATCCCCAATATTTTGGACATCTACATCAAACTAAAACATTGCTAAAATTAAACATCTCAAAATGAAATTAACAAACTCCTAAAATATAAGACCTATTTATCTCCTATAGCATGAGTATTTATATCAACAAACAAAAATTCAAAGTGTAAATTTATGTTCTCTAGATATAAATGTCCATCTTTTTTTGATTCCTGCTAATACTTGGCCTCTGATACTTGGTTAATCAGATAACTTTAAAAAAAAAAAATGCTGTCTTTTGACTGTCCCATGGTAAGCAGGAGTGCCCGATCTTTTTTCAGTCCTTTATACAAAATCTCTTAATGTCTAATTTTTATTTCCAATGTGAACCCCTTCTATCTTCTCTTGAGAGATTGTTCAGAACTGAACATAGCACCAAGTGAGGACATAACATTAATTTGACCCCAGACCACTAGAGGAAGACACAGCTTTTTCAGTCCTCTACCCCCCTCTGACTCAAGACTCCTCCAGACAGATCTCCACAAGGACTAGTCACTTCTCTTCAGCTCTTGAGGCTCAACAATGACCATTCTGCAACCCAGTGTCTTCCCACAATCTGGATCTCTGGGTTTCTCTCCTCTACAGGTCACAAAGGCGGATCAGTGTTTTGGCGTTCCACAGTCCAGCCATGTCCCCTCTGCTCCTGCTTACTGCCAGATTCTCTGCCTCTGCAGCAGCAGGTAGTGGTGGTTTCTTCTGCAGTCACCCTCGTTCCTATTTTAATTTTTCTGCTTAGCTTGGGGGCTCTGTGGAGCAGTATTCTGTCTCCTCGCCATTCTTCCTCCTCCCTGAGTTGGTTAACCCTTTAGGGATTTAACCCTTCGTGAGCCTCTGCACATCATCTTCCTTCTCTGTCCCTTACAGGCATGGCAGAGCATCCAGGAAAGCACCAGGTCAAATCCAAGAGGTGCTTTACAGGTAAGGCATCCTTCCCAGATTCAGTAGATGGCAAATTGTACCCAGACTTCTGTCACTAATTCTGTTAGGTTCCAGCGCTACAAATCAGACAGGCAGATGTGGTCCCTTATGCACCAAGGCACCCATCACCCCAGTGGGGGGAAAATGGACCAGGAACCCCAGTGCAGAGCAGGGAGAGAGTCCAGAAGTAAGATGGACCAATCAACTCAGGGGTAAGTCCTAGGAGACCCTGCAGAACAAAGGAGAGGCTTGCAGGGCTACAAGTCTTGCACCCCCCACCTAGTCTTAAAGTGGGTCCTGAGCACCCTCGGGAAAGAAGCACGGCCTCCAATCAGCTACCCTTCCTCACAAGCTAACCAGGGAGAATAGGACCCAGTGGGGGAGGATTCTAAGATGACCTCTCAGCGCTTCAGGCCCTAAGAAAGGGAAGCCACAGAAGGCCTCACCAAACTGCAGCAGAGCTCCTACACTCCCAAAGTGCTCTGAAAATGTTAAAATATCTAGAAAGGGAAAGGAAAAAGTACAAAAAAATCAGGAAATATGAGTCCTCCGCTCTTCCTCCTGCTTCCCCAAAGCAAGTTTGCTGTCTAGCAGGCTTCTAGAGTAAACCTCAGAGTAAATTTCTCCCTGCAAAAATCCTGCCCTGAAGCTGAGATACCCCTTCACTACTTCAAGGAAGTGATTAGGGCTGAACAGAACAAGACTGATGAGGACTAGCACATTAATAAGAGCAACATCAGGCTCTGTAACATTCAAGAACCAAAGAGCTCTATTGTGGAGACACTATAAAGCTTGATGCTGCAGTAGCATCCCTCGCCAGGGATATGATTATTCCCTCAGAAGGGGAGTTCTACCCAAAGGAAGGTTTTCAGCTCCTTATAACTGGTCAGTTCATGACAATGTCTGCGAAGGCATGCCCATCTGCCTTCCAGATCCTTTAGTCCTCACAGCTGAGGTTAGCCTGGAGGACTGGGGAGCTCACTTGGGAGACTCAAACAGCTCAGGGTCTCTGGAGTGAGAGGGAAAGGCTCACAGCATAAACCTAAAGTTGACTGGTCAATCTAGCTCTGCAAAGGTTCCACCCACAGGGGGAATCATATTCTGGTTCAATCAGATAATATGACTAGAGTCACATATTGAAACAACCAAGGGGAAATCACGGCACTACGCATAGAAGAAGTGGAAGTGGAAATAATGAGGTAAGTAGAAGAGTTCCTTCTGTCCTTCAGAGTGATCCACATCAAAGAAGACCTGAATCAAAAGGCAGAATGGCTCAGCAGGCAGGGGATCCAAGCTGCCTGATTCAGAACGTTTTCAAGCTTAATGTTTAGCTGTCTGGTCTCCCTTCAACTGTTCATGAATTGTATGAATGAAAAGAGGCCAAAAAAATTCACGAAGAAAGCAGACACCAGACCCATAAGAACAGATGCTTAATAGCACAGTTAGCCACAGAGCCTACTTTATGTATTTCCACCCTTTCTGCTACTGGGGAAAATGGTTTAGAAAATAAAACAAGAAAAGGCAATGACAATGCTGATAAATCCTCCTTGGCTGAGGCTCAGACAGAATAGAGTTGACACTAGATCCCCCACTCCAGCATCTGAGAAGACTAGATAGCCTCTTGCCAAGGCCCTTCTCTTCAGACAAAAATGGATTCAACTAACACCCTGGCTATTGAGAGGGAATGGACTCAGTCTGTCCTCCATAATCATTAAGACATTGCTTTCATCTGGGAGAGTACTGACACTAAAAGCATACTCTATCTGGCCCAGATACAGCAACTGGGGCCAAGCCCACAATGCAAATCCCAGAAATCCAGGAATTCCACCCATTCTGGACTTTCTCCAAGAAGGTACAGCTAGAGGTCTTCAGCCCAGTAGCACTGTGTCAGGTGTCTGCTCTTAATAGCATGCTATTCACAGGATCCTTGGGGTTCTTGGTAGACAATCCACAGGTAGCCAGATTCCTACAAGCAGTCTGATCAGCTAAAATGGGATCTTCCATTACCTTTTGAGCACCCTGATGAGCCATCCCTTCAAGCTTCTGTTTTAAGAGTCAGCCTTTTATTTATCCCTCAAGACTTGTTTTAGTAGCTCTTGTGTGTGCCAGGTGCTTGTCAGAGCTGGTAGCCTTATCTGTGCAGGAGTCTTACTGTGTGTTCAGGGCACCAGAATCTTTTCTTCTAAAGGTAAATTCCTCTTTCCATGTTTCCAAAGAGGTCGTGCTTCCTTCATTCTGTCCAAAACCATAATATCCAATTGAAAAGGTGAGGCACACTTTAGATGGCAGAAGAGCACTGAAAATGTATCTCAGGTATACAGAATCTACAAGATCAGACTCCCTACTCGTGTCCTTCCACCTAAAATGCCAGAGACTTAGAGCTTTCAAATTCTCCATTGCTAGCTAGATTTTAGACTAAGCAGTGTGGCAGCCTACACTTGCAACCCCTCATAACTTGGTATCATCCACAAAGTTTATATGTGTATTCTGTCTTTATCCAAATCATTTATGAAAATACAGAAGTGGATCCAGGATAGATCCCTGCAGGATCCCACTTGATATGCCCTTCCCGCTTGACTGTGAAATATTGATAATGACAGCTTTCCAACTAGTTGTGCACTCACTTTACAGTAGATTAATCTAGACTGTATTTCTCTAGTTTTGCTTATGAGGGGGGTCACACAAGACCGTTTAAAAAATCGGAAGTTACTAAAGTCAACATATATCACATCTACTACTTCTCCCTTATCCACAAAGCATGTTACCCTTTCAAGGGTAGAAGGTTGGTTTGAAATTTGTTCTTAACAAATCTATGTTGACTACCTTATTATCTACTAGGTGCTTACAAATTGTTTGATTATTTGCTCCATTATCTTTCCAGGTACTAAAGGTAAGCTGACTGTTCTACAATTCCTTGGGTTGTCCTTATTGCCCTTTTTATATATAGGTACTATATTTGTCCTTTTCCCATCCTCTGGGATCTCTCCGAGTTCTCAAAAATAATTGCTAATGGCTCAGAGGTCTCTTCAACCAGTTCTTTAAGTATTCTAGGATGTATTTCATCAGGCCCTACTGACCGAAGACATCTAACTTGTCTAAAAAAGAAAAGGAGTACTTGTGGCACCTTAGAGACTAACCAATTTATTTGAGCATGAGCTTTCGTGAGCTACAGCTCACTTCATCGGATGCATACCGTGGAAACTGCAGCAGACTTTATATACACACAGAGAATATGAAACAATACCTCCTCCCACCCCACTGTCCTGCTGGTAATAGCTTATCTAAAGTGATCATCAAGTTGGGCCATTTCCAGCACAAATCCAGGTTTTCTCACCCTCCACCCCCCCCACACAAATTCACTCTCCTGCTGGTGATAGCCCATCCAAAGTGACAACTAGCAGGAGAGTGAATTTGTGTGGGGGGGTGGAGGGTGAGAAAACCTGGATTTGTGCTGGAAATGGCCCAACTTGATGATCACTTTAGATAAGCTATTACCAGCAGGACAGTGGGGTGGGAGGAGGTATTGTTTCATATTCTCTGTGTGTATATAAAGTCTACAAAAATTAATGAAAGAAGAATGAGGCGAGACAAGGACAACTACCCAGAATTGGACAAATACAAAAACCAAGCTACAGGAGCTCTAGGTGAAGGATCCCTATCTGAATTATTTTTTGGCCACATGAACTTGTGAAAAGAACGAGGAGTACTTGTGGCACCTTAGAGACTGAGGTGCCACAAGTACTCCTCGTTCTTTTTGCTGATACAGACTAACATGGCTACCACTATGAATTTGTGAGAGACACGAAATTGCCCAGGAACAAGACTCTACATTTACTACTAATTAGATGTCTGTGTAAAACAAAACATAGAAGTTTATAAATCTAGAATCAAGTGTTGTTTTTCCAACTAAGAAATGAAAAAGGACAAATCTCTTCTTAATGGAAGAGTAAAAATGTAGATCCATTTATTCATTTGTCATATACACAATCAGGACTTTTCTGAGGGTGTAGTTACTCAGGAACAACTGTGCCTGAATAACACCAGGTGTAGAAAACCCCTGAGGATTTTTAAAAAGCTTATTTTAGCTATAGTTTTTTGGTGTGGTGTTATAGGAGGCAGTCCATATGTTTAATATCCATGACGTAGTATAGATTTTATAGTCTCTTTGAAAGCAAAGGCAAGGGAAATTTTTCTATCTCAAAATCTTAGTGATGTGTTAACATGGGTTATTTTCTCTAATCAAGTAACTTATTAAATTGTTTTGAAACTAGAACTAGTTAAAAATTAGTTCCTTTCTCTCATTTGTTTGAAAATCTGATTTTTGGATCCTTCAATCTTTTAAAATTGAAATGCTTATGTGTTTAAAATAACTGTACATACATAACGGGCGACAACACCGTGTGTGGCTACAAAAGTTAGTAAAAACCTAAGAAACTAACAAGTGCTAGCATATTTTTTACCACCTCAATTTAAAATTTTTAAGAGCTGACTCTGGCATCCTACTCTCTGAATTTCTAAAACCTTTGACAAGGGGAAAAAAAAGTGGAAAAAAAATACAATTAAGGTGAGAGACGTATGTGGAGAAACAGGGTGGATTGGAAGAGCCTTCTCTTCTTCCCCTTTCATTAAGTTAGTTTCCACCTGAGAATCTGTCCTACTCCAACACTGCCACTGACTCCACAAGTCACTTTGCAGGGCAGCTCTTGCTATAGGGCCCATCACTGTTGTTAATGTCAAGGGAAAATAAAGTCTGGACCTGGCTCCTATCAGCGGGTACAGGACGAGGACCAGCCAAGTTGGAGTTCCTGAGTAGGTAGAAGCTACATCCCAATAACGGGGTAGTCAGGATCCCCTTCTGGAGCGTAAGAAAAGGCCGTGGCCCAAAGAGTTTTGCAGTTAAGAAAAGCCAGGTTGGGGTTCCCCCCCTGTGTGGAAGTGGGAGGGTTGAGCTCAGTGGCTGGGGACTCTCCCCAATGTGTGTGTGAGAGGCTGCTGAGCCCATGTGTAAGGAGTGGCCAAGCTAGGTAGGGTTCTCCAAAACCTCCAGGCTGTGTGGGGGAGGGGAAGCTAAATTGGGACTCACTCCCATGTGTAAAAAGAAAAGGAGTACTTGTGGCACCTTAGAGACTAACCAATTTATTTGAGCATAAGCTTTCATGAGCTACAGCTCACTTCATCGGATGCATACTGTGGAAACTGCAGAAGACATTATATACACAGAGACCATGAAACAATACCTCCTCCCACCCCACTCTCCTGCTAGTAATAGCTTATCTAAAGTGATCACTCTCCTTACAATGTGTATGATAATCAAGTTGGGCCATTTCCAGCACAAATCCAGGTTTCTCACCCTCCGTTCCCCCCCCACACACACAAACTCACTCTCCTGCTGGTAATAGCCCATCCAAAGTGACCGATGAAGTGAGCTGTAGCTCACGAAAGCTTATGCTCAAATAAATTGGTTAGTCTCTAAGGTGCCACAAGTACTCCTTTTCTTTTTGCGAATACAGACTAACACGGCTGTTACTCTGAAACAATCTTTACAATGTGTATGATAATCAAGGTGGGCCATTTCTAGCATAAATCCAAGTTTAACCAGAACGTCTGGGGGGGGTAGGAAAAAACAAGGGGAAATAGCCACTCCCAGCCTATTTCCCCTTGTTTTTTCCTACCCCCCCAGACGTTCTGGTTAAACTTGGATTTATGCTGGAAATGGCCCACCTTGATTATTGTGCACATTGTGGGGAGAGCGGTCACTTTGGATAAGCTATTACGAACAGGAGAGTGAGTTTGTGTGTGTCGCTTTTGGAAAAGGGGGGGTGAGAGTGAGAAAACCTGGATTTGTGCTAGAAATGGCCCACCTTGATTATCATACACATTGTAAAGAGAGTGGTCACTTTGGATGGGCTATTACCAGCAGGAGAGTGGGGTGGGAGGAGGTATTGTTTCATGGTCTCTGTGTATATAATGTCTTCTGCAGTTTCCACAGTATGCATCCGATGAAGTGAGCTGTAGCTCACGAAAGCTTATGCTCAAATAAACTGGTTAGTCTCTAAGGTGCCACAAGTACTCCTTTTCTTTTTGCGAATACAGACTAATACGGTCGTTACCCTGAAACTCCCATGTGTGCCCACAGGGGGCGGGGGGGGCAGGGTGCTGAGCCTATGAGCGTACAGAGTCTATGGATGTCCCTGGTGTGTGTCAGAGTCCTGTGGCACCTTATAGACTAACAGATGTATTGGAGCATAAACTTTCGTGGGTGAATACTCCAATATGTCTGTTAGTCTAGAAGGTGCCCTAGGACTCTTTGCTGCTTTTACAGATCCAGACTAACACGGCTACCCCTCTGATACCTGGTGTGTGGCTGTGTGTGTGTGTGTGGGGGGGGGGGGGCACTGAGCCTAGGGCTCTCCCTGGTGTGTGCAGTGGGGGGGGGATGGTGACCAAATAGCAAGTATAAAAAATCGGGACAGGGAGTCGGGGGGATAATAGGTGCCTATATAAGAAAAAGCCCCCCAAATCGGGACTGTCCTCTGGTCACCCTAGCGGGGGTCAAGGTGCTGAGCCGGTGAGCGGACGGGGTCTAGGCTAGATGTCCGGGGGGACGGGGACTGAGCCGGCGGGAGGGGCCAGCCTAGGGCTCTCCCCGCTGTGTGTGGAGAGACAGCTGATGCGCCACACTGTAAGCGGCAGTGATCCGCTCCTGAGGTGGGAGAAGCCCGGGCCCCGGGACGGACCAGGCTTGTGCCCCCATTACAGCACCTGGTGGTCCGTGGGGCTGGCAGAGGAAACCTACTAGCCTCCTCTCTGCGAGCGCGTCCGCCCGGCGGGGTGAATAAGAGAAACCGCAGGCTTCCACCCGCCAGAGCGCCCCAGAGCTCGGAGTCCCTGAAGCGCTGCTAACTACCGTCTTCTCCCTCGGACCGTGCGGGGAAATGGCGCCCCGCTCACTCGCTCCCTCTCTGACGCACAGGCACCTAGCTGGCCTTGATACAAAATGGCGGCGGTCACGGCCCCGAACCCAGCATAGCGAGAGCCCGTGGCGCGGGGAACAGGGCCCGCGGCGCAGAGCCAATCGGGGTTGGCGCTGGGCCTCCGGCGACCAATGGAGTGTGTGGGCGGTGGTTTGTGGTGCCGGCTGACCAATGGCGGCTCGGCGAGTGCTGGTTGCGGGGCCCGCCCGCATAGCTCTGGGCGGTGCTGGAGCGGGCGGGCGCTGAGGCGGCCGTTTCCTGTCCTGGTGCATGGTGGTCGGACGGAGGAATTGTTGGAAAATTTCTCGGCGAGGTTAGTATATAAATGTGTTTTTACCCAGTGTGCCTTATTCTACCCACCGCCATCTCCGGCTGGGCCCGCTGCGCCGACCCGCCGGGCCCGGCCCCTCCGCGCCGCGCGCGGGGAACCGGAGTGGGGCAGCCAGCGAGTGGGGGCAGCGGGGCAGCGCCGACTGACATTAATAAAACCGCGGTTCTGCCGCCCTCCCGCCCAGTACGTTTTCCTCCCCTCCCCCACCGGGCTTTCCACTGCCGCCGCCTCAGCTGCGCCAGCTTCCTCCCCGTTGGCGCCGCCGCCTCTGGACGCCGCTCGGGGCCGACGCCGCTCCCGAGCTTCATGAGAAACACGCGGCGGGGGCACGGGGAGGTGGGTAGGCCGGCGCGGCTCCCCCCGGCCTGCCCGCGCTCCGCGGGACAGGGGGGTGCGCGCCGCCGCTCCCCGGGGGCTTTGCCCTGGCCCCGGCCTCGGAGGGAAGGCGCCTCTAGCAGGGTGCGTCACTTGGGGAGCGGGGGCGCTCCCCTGCCCGGCGCTGTGTCCGGGCGGGTGTCGGCTCCCCTGCGCACGCTGCAGCAGCAGCTGCTTCCCCTTGCGCGCCGCTCTGCCTCGGGGGCAGGCGTCCAGCCAGCGCCGCCTCTAGCCGCAGTTGCGGGGGCGCCCATCAAACACACGCCTCGGAGTTTGTTTGTATTGCGACGCAGGCCCGGTAGTGGTGTTCATGCTAAAGGGGTGTGTTGCAGACGCCTAGTTTTGGTTTTCTGTTGCCGTCTCTAAGGGATGGAGTCTTCCTCGTCCCTTGGACTTTTAATTGCCTTATGCAAAAGTTACCCTCTGTAAATAAAATTTTGCAGGTATAGTGTGTGTATGTGTTGGGGTGGGTGGGTGTTAATTGCTACCATATGTAAAGGGGATTTATTCGGTGTGCTTCTGTTTCCCCTTCTTAAAAATGACTTGCACCTGGAGCCAATTTGGAAGCTTTAAGTCACTTTTAGGAGGTGCGTGGTGCAGTGACAGTGAAGGAGGGAGTTCTCAAATCTGTCAATGACACAAACAGTACTCCATGCTTAAGAGGGAAGGACTTACAAAACAGCATTAAAGGGAATCACCCCCGTGAACGGGTCTCCCGCATTGGAGAGTTGGGAAGCAGCTCATTCTGGAGAAAATGCTGTTCTATCAATAGTATTTATAGTGTCATAAGTAAAGGTACAGCTTCACTAACACAAGATGCAAAGAGTCCTGTGGCACCTTATAGACTAACAGACGTATTAGAGCATAAACTTCCGTGGGTATTTTGTTGGATGTGTTGCATGCGACGAAATGGGTATTCACACACAAAAGCTTAAGCTCGGAGGAGGTATTGTTTCATATTCTCTGTGTATATATAAAGTCTGCTGCAGTTTCCATGGTATGCATCTGATGAAGTGAGCTGTAGCTCACGAAAGCTCATGCTCAAATAAATTGGTTAGTCTCTAAGGTGCCACAAGTCCTCCTTTTCTTTTTGCGAATACAGACTAACACGGCTGTTCCTCTGAAACCCATCCAATATGTCTGTTAGTCTATAAGGTGCCACAGGACTCTTAGTCTGGGTCTGTAAAAGCAGTAAACACGACTACCCCTCTGATACTTAACACAAGGTCCTTGCATTGTATCTGATAGTCTATTTTACTTTAGCTTTCTCTGTTCATAAAAATAACATACAGCTATGTTTTTTTTTAAATACCATCACCTCTCTTTTCTTAGCACATTCTTCTTTCCAGAATTTGTAGCTGCATATATACAGTTAGAAGATCCAACTATAGAAAAAACACATTTCTTTTGCAGTAGATTACAATATATTTTCATAATTAAGCTGCTTTATGATTTTGTTAAGATGGGTCATCTTGTAAAAATTGAGGCTTTTTAAGAAAACGTAGCTGTTATCAGTGTTCTATATACAAAATCTATTATGGCTTAAATGTTAAGATAATGCAAATTTTAAATCTCTAGTAACTTGCGAAGTATGACATACTTCTCAAATGATTCCTTTTATAGGAATTTGTTTTTTTAAAAATTGTAAATAAAATACTTTTCTAGGATACTTCTCAAAATTTTGGTTCCAGTGTTATACATTTCCCATTGAATTAGAAGACTTCTTTCTGTACTAGAAATAACATGTCATATCATTTCAGGTAGATAATAGACAGTTAAATATATTTATCTTTAATAGTTTGCATCCTTGGAGTAAAGGAATAAGCATTTGGTATATCTGCATAAATGTGCCTTTGGTTATCAAGATGTATTCTTAGAATTTCTAAGGTACAATAAAACAAGTATGCTTTAATGGCTTAGCTTTTTCGATTTCATTTTAATCATTTAATTTTGTGAGGGCTTAATCCTCCAAGACTTTCACATTTTCTAGAACAATAAGAATTTGAGTATTATTTTCACAGCAGAGTTTTTCAGCTTAATCAGTAAAGAAAATAAAACTGTTTACTTAAGATGATGCAGTGAAATACTGTATGGTCGTGTTAATTACAGGATACCATATAGATTAAGTATAATATATTAAAATTATTTTACTGATGAGCACCATCCCCAGAGTTTATTGCAGTCCACATAAGTTGCCTTTCTGATAGTTGTGGAATAACATTTTACTTTTAACAGACTATCTACAGAATTATTATTCTGGTTTAGTTGATAAAACCTCAATTCAGTGAACACTTAAGCATGTGTATTACTTTATCACATGAATAATCTTGTAGGTTTCATTGGGTCTACTTATGTTCAATTTATTGCACACGTGTATCTCTAGAATCCAAATACTTCATAAACATTAATTTATTTTCACAATACGCTGGTGAGGTAAAGTAGTAATATATCTGTTTTATAGATGGGGAACTGAGGCTCAAAGAGATTAAGGTCAAAAGTATTCACTAATTTTGGGTGTCTAAACTGAATGTCTTGGACCTGATTTTTCAGAGTACTCAGCATTACATAGCTCTATTTCCAAAATACAGCTCTCCGGTTATGTCTACGCTCCAGCCCAAGTCCAAACATCTACATTGCATTTAAGCAGACTCTTAGTGTGAGTCCCGTAAGTCTGAGTCAGTTGGCGTGTACCAACCACACATTTAATTGCACTGTAGACATGCTTGTATTGACTTGAGTTGTAATTATGGGTGCTCAGCACTTTTGCACGTCAGACTGCAGGGTTTCAGATTGAACACCCAGACAATGAGGAACACATAATTAGTGACAACTTGTGAAAAGTTTGGTTTAGGTAACTTGCCCAATGTTAGTTATCATTGGCTCCCAGTTTCTCTTGTCCAGCCAGTCCTAGCCTTTCTCTCTAGCCACTCCTAGTCTCTTCCCCTCTCTGATGGCACCCAGTCTCTCCCCTTTCAGTCTAATATCTTTGCCTAGCTACTTCCAGTCTTTTCTCCCTAGTTCCCAGTTCCAGTCTTTCTACCAAGCCAGTACCAGTCTTCTTACTTAGCCTGTCTCATTTCCTTCTTCAGCTCAGCCTCTCAGTATTCAGGCCAGACCTAGGAAAAACTGTTTCATCCTGGCATGCTTCAGCACGAGCAGGTAGGGGCTGACAAAGAACCCTCACATTCATAACTTTCATGCGCTTCAGCAAATAATGTCATAGCCAATTACTACTGTAGCTAACAACCAGTTCACCCTTATTTCCAGTCTTAGTCCAGAAAAGATTTACAACCTCCTTTCTCCCCAAGGCCTCTCCTCCTTGCTGTGGAGCAATAGCTTTTATGTTGCACCTGGGTTTGCATAGGCCTTACTTTTAAAGTGACACTGGTATGTGGGCTAGAAAGTGCATGTTGGCTCCTTCTAAGTCAGATTCTCTTTGTCTTATTCAAAACTGCTTTTGGTCAGAAGCCCTCTTAGAAAATTTCCCTTACCTCCTCAGTTATTCATTGGACCAAACATCCTTTCTACTTCATTCCTTCTGGCTTTATATCTTATTACTTTCAAGGCCTTCCTTCTGCTTGGTCATCAGGACTTTTCTTTACAACACACATTTCTTTAATCAAACTTAAGCTAACTCTTTAATTTCATATTTATTCTACAGGCATTTACAATATTTTCTCTACCGACTTATTTTTTGAGTATGTTTAAAAACTATCTGTGAATTTATTGGTCAGCTGACAGCTCCAGAGACAATCCTCTTCCCAGGACAGGTGCACCATGCCATGGCAGTGTAAGCTTCCCACCTTGTCCCACCAATCTCTTTGCTTTTTAACTCTAGAGATGGTCCTTCTTAGTCAAAGAATGATTCACTGTGCTTGTTGGCCTTGTCTATGCTGGAGAAATTTGGTGTGCTAATCAGCCCTAATCTGCCTGTAACATATCTTGTATTTATTCCCACTGATGCTTGCTCCACCTTTTGAATTAGACTGGCTTTGAGCTGGGCTGACCAAGAAGTGGTTGTCTCTCATGCCAAATCCACCAGTGCAATGCCGGTTGTATAGGATCACTGGCATAATTATCTTAACCATGAAAATGGTCTTTCTATTAATTATCCCACAGTCTACTATGTAAGTGCCTATTATACCTTCTGAACTCTACAGCACAGTGGTCAAGGATGCTTGAAGCCGCACTCTCCAGGGACCTCGACATCGTGTTGTTTCCCCAGGAGGTTTTTGAAATCTGACTTTTAGAAAGCCTTTAAAAATCTTCCAGAAGTCACTGCTTCAGGAAGCTATTTTGGCATCTGTAGAATAGTTGTCCAGAAACTGTGCATCTGTTATGGTGAAGTACAGTGCAAGTGTGGTCGTGCTAGCTGACTAAACAGCACTGCTCTTGTGGACGTGCTGCATTTTTGGTTCTTCAATGCTGTCCTATTCATTCTGTTACCAGCAGTACAATTTTATGCTAACAAGCTTGCCAGTTGATGCCAGTTAGGATGGTTATTTTTGTGTTGTACAGCTTACCCATTTTGAACTGTATCAAGACCACCAAAATAATTTCACTTAAGTCTTTAACCATCCTTTGCTAAGTTAAGTGCACGTATTCATGAATAGTGCTGAGTAGGCCAACTTAACCTGGGTCATCCTGAATCTTCAGCACATTCTCAGTATTGTTTTCTAACCTTCCCACAGTCTCTTTTAAGGGCACTCTGGGCACCACCAGAGTGCAAAATTTCACCAGAATGTATTATTATTTGTATTACTGTAGCACCCAGGAGCCCTAGTCATGGACCAGAACCACACCGTGCT